TCACACATATACCATACATACATACACACATACACATATATATACACATACAATATGCGCAAAATAGCGTCTTCTAAGATATGCGTGCAATAAATGGGATGGATGTATACGTGCATGAATGTGTCTGATTGTGTTGTCATTTAAATGTTTAAGTGAGATATGCACGTAATTAGGGATTGTTGCCCGTTTAAGGAGCTATATGGTATTGTTTGAATGGTTGTGTTAGAGGAATGTTGAACTGGGGTTATGATGAGAAGGAAAGATAGCTCTTCCCGGGACACGTAACCAATTATTCCCTTTACCTTCCTTCCTTCCTTCCTTCCTTCTTTCTTACTTTCCGGATTACATTGATTACAGTAACATCATATATATATATATGATGTTATATATATATGATATATATATCCTACTGATCATTTTGGCTAAAATGGTAAGTAGGCGAAAGGCGGTGATGGTACGACGAATGGTACTGCTAATCGTGTAGTGCACGTATATGTATCTCACAACTAGCAGTACCATTCGTATTAGAATGCACGTATCTATATGTGTGTCTGTTTGTCTGTCTGTGTGGTTATGTTCATTTTTTTTGAATAAAACATTCCCGCATTTTTCTTCTCAAACAATTTGAGGAAATCCTTATTAATTGTGCTTAGCAAGCAAAGTTGCTATCTCATCATCCTTCTTCTCCCCCGCTCTCCCGCTCTATCCATTCTCCAATTCCTATTTCCGTAGGTATATTTCCTTTTTTGTACTGATCATTTCCATATTACACTGTTCATTTGTCATTTGCATTTTTTGCTTTTTTCTCTTTTTCGAAAATCGTTTTTTAATTCCGACAGAGCAGAATTTTTCCCCACTCCCTTCCTCTTCCGTGCCCTCTCCTTTCAGAGCAAGAATAATTTCATCCTGGAATTTAACTCAAATTACTATTCTACATTTGATATATCCATATTGACAGTATTTCTGCTTGATTGATAAGCGCAACTTTATGGAGGAATATGGATCGATCTATATTTCAAACGATGATGATAAACTGAATAAAACTGTTAGCTATGAGGAGATTTAGGAAGAATGTTAATTTGGAGCTTTTCATAATCTCAAGTGATGCATGCTAAATATTCCGAGAGTAATTTTAGAAGTGAACTATATATGTGTTATCTATATGGAAAGGATAAGGGAGAAGAAACTGATTAACTCTTATCAGATGATAAGAGTGATGCTTTGATTGTTGTTATTCATACAATGAGAAAGTGTTCTTACCACTTTAGGTTCTTATTCAAGAACTCTCTCATGCCTTTTTTATTACTGTTTGAATCGAAAAACATTCCATCCAGAACATCAAATATCCATATCATAACATTTTTCTACTTAATAACTTCTCATATTATTTGCGAATTGCATAATCCTTTTTATCGATGGCGTTTTTAGAAAAACGAGAAAATTGAAGGCGCTTATTTGCCATTTCATTTTTAAAATTTGTGGATTTTATGGGAAAATTGCAGAGTAGAAGTGTCGTATGATGATGCCATCGAGTTTGGGTGGCGGTAATGGAAGTGCGAAACATCATCAGCAGCTCATGCAATCTGCATCCATGCTACCTTCACCTTACAATTTTTTGCCATCAGTTTTTGCCAATGCGCAATTGGACATGCCATTATTTCGACCTCCCGATTCGGTATGTTTCGATATTCCGATCTGTGGAATTTATTTTTGAAAATAAGAATATCATAGCAATATTAATCATAGCAAGCTTAATGGAAATCTTTATTTCAGAATTTAGGAGCGATGTATCTAAGCCAGTTAGCGGCAGCAGCAGTTTTAAATCAGGGTCAGAATGGTAGCAACGGTAGCACAACAAATGAACCACAAGAGGAAACCAATGGTGAGAATAATAAAACAGAAACGGCAGCATCAATTTCATCCGAAGTGGCAACTTCGTCGTGTGGCGCTGAGTCGCCGCTATCACCCAGGCCATTTGGTACTGCGGAACGAGAAATGGATTCATCAAACGAACGGAATTCTGTAGATAATGCTGCACTAAGGTTTTGAATTACTTGATTTTTATTGCATTATAATTTAAATGGATCTGAGGAGACTTTTGGTTAAAAGATGAAAATTTGAACTTGAATTTCAGCCCAACGAAAGTAAGTAATGAAGATATAGCTCTGGCAGAGAATGAAAATTTGCAGCCTTCATCAGCATCAGAATTACAGCAAGTTGATCTTTCAAAATGGATCTCTGATTTTTTCCCAGGATTGCCAAATAATGTCTCTGCGCTGTAAGCTTTCGAAAAGTTAATGAATGAGAAATATTTTATGCATATTTTTACAATTTGCTGGAATTCCAGAAACATGGCTGCTCTAACACAACGAATGCCACCAATGCTTGAGCAGATGCAATTGATGAATCAGTATTTCTCACCCGGAACAGTTGAAGATTCCCTTCGAGTTCTAGCAGCACTTGGCAGTAACAGTGGTTTTGCGGGTACGGTTACATCAGCAGATTGCAGCCCAGGCTCAATCCTCAATTCACCATTTGTTAGTAGTGCTGGTCATTCGAAGGTAAATCCGTACTGCTTTCTAATTGCAACAAAAATGCAGGGTTACTTATTCCCAATTGAAACTCATTTTGTGAGCTCTTTGAGCTTCTAAGCGGCACTCCGAAGGAACCCTGTTGTTCAACTTTCCAGGATACCTATTGCGAGATATGTGACAAGAATTTTTGCAATCGCTACTTTCTTCGAACACATAAGTGGAAAAAACATGGCATTCCATTTCCGGGCAAAAATTCGCCATCTGAAAGCAATGTAACATCACTAGCGTCACGTTAGTTAGTCTTGTACTTACAACTACGAACTGATGCATTTTAATTGCTCAGCGCGTGATAAATTGGACATACATAATTGAATTTTACATGAGAGGAAAGCAGTTCGGTAGTCAAGATGCGTTTTTTTTCTCAATTTGGTATCTGTTGAATTGAGGATTGGGTCATCATATTATTTATCAAAAATTCGGATCATTTCCGGTTTTTCATTTCAATTTATTATCTAAATGAATTTTTTTAGCGACAGTTTCACAAAATCTTGCTTTGGATTTGCCAACTACCTCGACAGGGATAAATCTTAGTCCAGCTGAATTTATTGCTGCACTTTGCAATCAGAATGTATTGGAAGCTTCACAGATATCTCCTTCAAAAGTCACTTCTTCTCAACCGACCTCTGTTATTGTTAATTGTTTGTCTAGTGCAGATTCATCACCAGCAAAACGAGCGAGAACGACTGATGAAGGAAATAAAGATGATGATGAATTACTCGGTGCGGCCAGGTAGATTATTTTTTTCCTATCCATGTTCATATAGGTGTTCATACCATTTTCATTTTTCATTTGCTTGATTATCTGCAATGTAATTTACAGGTCGGAGAGTGTCAGGATTGATGAAGAAACACTCGCAAATGTCGCAAGTCAATTACCAAACACGGGTGATTTATTTGCTATGATCGCTCGCCAGGCTCAGGAAAATGCAATTGCGCAAGAATTACTGTCATCATTTAAAGTCGAAGGGATACAAGCGCAACAACAATCGTTAGCTATTATTGTTGATTTTATATGACATCTATTGCATTTTTTAATATTTAACTATATCTGAAATTCTATAAAATTCTATAGGAATCAAACTTTCCAGGTCACTGTCAGAAATTCTATAGGATTCAAACTTTTCAGATCGCCACCAAAACATTCATCAGGTAGTAAAGAAGCATGCGAAATGTGTGGACAGGAATGCGAGAATCGAGCTACCCTTCAGCATCATCTTTTATTGCAACATAATATCTTGAATAGTTTTCTTAGCTCATTTAATTTACTGTCTCCATTAGGTCAGCTACAGTCACAACAGCAATCACAGAAACAGCACAGCAGTCAGGGTAATGATGGAGAGCGACCTCGTAATTCAACGGCTGCACCAGGAATGGTTACGTCGCCCATCAGTGTTGTATGTCTATATTTGTTGTTTTCATTTAAAGTTCAATAGATTTAATATAAATTTAACATTCCTGATTTTTTATTCCCAAGACTCTCGGACATTGATATTCACTAACAAAAAAAAAGATGCTTTCTTCGTTTCAGTCACGACAACCAAAAAAACAGTATACAACAACGGGCAAGAATTACTGCGATGTTTGCAATAAGGAAGTATGTAACAAATATTTCCTTCGAACGCATATGCTCAAAATGCACGGCATTGTCATTGATGAGCATAAAACAATCATTGCAAATATCGATACTTTAGAAAAGGAGAAGTCTGGCACGATTGCTTTCCGGTATATATTATAAGTGAAATTCAATAACAGTGGTGATTGACTTATTAATTTTCAAAGTATTACCAAATTTTATGAGAGTGACAAAAAAACTGGAAGTGGTTGTTACTTCTTGAGAGAATGATGTGTTTGGGAATCAAGTTGATGGAGTTCAAATTTTGGACAAAATATCCTCTACAGTCAGAGTTCCAAAAAAGGAAAAAGTCGGATTTGTTGCTTTTCTTTCAGCTGTGATATTTGTAACACAAATGTAGGACAGACTCGTGAATCTTTGAAACAACATAAGCAGGAAGTTCATAATGTTGTGTCATTGCCTACGTCACGTGGTCATCGTGGATCTCTCAGTTCTACCTCAAGTATCACCAGCACATCGACTCTCAACCAAGCACTCAAAACTACAGATCAAAGTGGAAATAATATTGAGTAATTTTTTTCCTGTCAGTTTAAAATTTTATATGTATAGGAAAATGGAATAATTAGTCATTCCACTTTTCCTGCTTAACGTCCACACTTATGAAGTGAATTTTTTTTTGAGATGGTTTGAGAGGGCCGAAAAATTCGGGATAATATAACTGGATCTTCCGTGTTATATTTAGTAAGCTGAAACAATGCTCTCATAGAAGCACTGCATTGTGTCGGAGAAGGAAGAAAAGGAAGTGTGCTCTCCCCTCCCGAATACATTTTTGAAATGTTGAAGAACTTCCTTCGACAGTCATCAATTGAAGAGAGCAGACGAAGTACATTTGCCAGTAAAATCGATCGCAGCGGTCGTGAAGCGAATGTGGCATGCGTTATTGCCTGTATAGTGTGTAGTGGAGCGAGAGAGGAAGTCGTCCCGTTCTTTTTTTCTGGGAAATTTTGCAGAAAGAATTCCCATTTTTCGTTCCGATTACCCTTTGAGCTATTTGTTGCTATTGCTATTGCCTGTGCCCTTCCCTATTTGCTTAAAGTATTTGTATGCTTCGAATTATTCCGTATTAGTTTGTTTCGTGCTGATTTGACTTGACACAAATTAGTGCCAAGAATGCAGCGTTATTCGGCTCGCTTTTTAGAAGACCTGAAAATTGCATTTGAAAGAGCATTTGCCCTTCAGACGAATCTAGTCGGGTAAGCTTCAAGATTTGTATATTTTGCAGGTAGCAAAATGAATTGGATTAAATTAGCAAATGAATTGGAGATTTGTGATGCGTCTTTTTTCATCCCAGGCTATTATCTTCTAGCGTAGTATCACAATTCTGCTCTAGGAACATTAGATTGAAAAAAAAATACAGCCATGTTTTTGAAAATATGCAGTATGCCTTTTAGTCAATTGCGATGTCCACTCTGTGATGTACGAGTCGTTGGTGTGGCAGCAATGCAAAAACATATTAGCGAGAAACATGGAATGGAAATGAGTTTAGAATCACTAGAGACTTTCTTAAAGGTAAAAAGACGCTTCATTTTATTTTTGAATAATCAGTGGTATCCCTTCAAGAAAAAAATTCAGTTAAAAGTTCTTTGTTCTTTACGATGAAGCAAATGAAAGCACATAAAACTCCGACCAATTTTACACTGCAAAATGGCCCATCTGCGGTCATAGATTATCGTTTAGTCATATTTATAGTGAGATACATGCTTTGCTGACCAATAATAATAAGTAAACGATCAGTATTTATTTGCATTCTTTCTAAATTAGGATCAAATATGCTCATTTTAAGGATGCTTATGAGATCAAAACTGGACAAAGTGCTGCAACACTTGGGGGATCCATTACAGCGAATTTACAGGAACAAATAGCAATAGAACGCGGTGAGTTCACCTGTATGCATTGTGCAGAGATATTCAACGACCAAATTCAATTTCAGCTTCATATGATCCATAATCATCCATTGGTTATTCGTACTTCAGGTTTGTTATTTAGTGAAATAAAAAATGGTGAAATGAATGTGTTGCTTGAATATCTCCCGTTATAATTACTGAATTTAACCCAGTAAATGATTAGAAATATTTCTAATGATTTTCTTTTAAAATATTAAATTAAAAGAGAGGAAAAAATATTGGATCTTTACTAGGTTCTTGAATAAGGTATGCAGTTGCTTTTCTCGAGAAAATAAGGCTATAGAAATAGCTTCTGCAAATGATTTCTTAAAAGTTTGTTCGTACTGATTATTTTTCTAAATATGTTTATTCATATGATTATTTTATGCTTTCTTGAGATAAGTTCTCCTGCAGCATCAGGTCATGATATGGAGCCGTTGTGTACGCGGTACAATTTCCAATCCTCTAGTATGGCAGATTCATGGATTGATTCAGAGGAGAAACATGCAAATAGAAGCACAGAGGAGGATATGAAAGAGGATGAAACATTGGGAGACGATGAACATCACTTAGTTCAGGAAAATGTGAGTATTTGATTTTGCTACATAACGCCTGCATTTTAATGTATAATTTTTGCATATTATTATCTCAGTATCGTAGTCGATTTCCGATAAACTTTAAATTTCCTTTGACTTTATTCCCCTGTCACAGAAATTATAAATTCCAAGTAATATGAGGACTTATCTTCTCTGGCGGCAATGGAATCTGGATTTTTCGAAATACCTCTTTATTCAGAATATTATTAGTTCTTATCATATAAAACTCCAGTACTCAGTGATTGCCAAATCAGCATGGGAATGAGATGTTTTGAGTTTTGTAATGTTGAACTGCCAAATTGCATTAAAGATCTAAGCAATTCGATATTGCAAAATCAAATATTGGGACATTCGTAGTTGATATCCAGTTGTGAATCGAAATTTAGAGTCAGTTTTTCCTTTTTGAAACAATCTCATCCAATAATATTACTGATTGTAACTCGTTTATTGAGAAAACCCACATAATAAGTGGAAAATTAATTTAGCGGAGATTTTTTGACTGCCCGATACCATGGTGCTCACGACGGTATCGTAATCCTATCATATTGAACAAGCACATTTCCATTGTGCATCAGTGGAGATTAAAATTTTCACCGAAGAATGGAAAGAATAAATCTCGTGGTGTTATTTCGTATCGTAAGTTATTGCTGTGTAGCCTCTATATTAACTTTATCTCAAGCTAGGTATTAAGGGAGGATTGCGAATTCTGGATAGGATGATGACCTTATTGATTATAAGTCATGATTTATAACCTATTAAATTTTATTGTTCTTATGGCTGTGTTTGCTATAGAGTAACACTTACCGCATATTTATCAGTGAATTATGCTAAGACACTGCTTGCTTTGCGTATTTTTTAGATTTGATTCCGTACAATGGATTTTACTCTATTTTTAATTTCCTAATTCCTCTTTGCAAAGGTAAATAGTTTAGATTGCATTCATATTGCTAGACCTAACAAATATCAGGTAATTTATGGAAGAAGCATTATATTTGCTTGTTCGAAGGCTGCAAATATCGCTTTTGGTCACGGAGTGATTGCGAAAAACATATTTTGTGTCACATTGGAACAAATAATAAAACGGGATTAAAAGGAACAGTAGTGAATGGTTCGACAGAAAATGGAAGAAGTCAAAGCATCAATAAGTTGGTTAGAGTGAGGGATGGGAAAATTATTTTAAATGTGGAAAATGGTAACAACCGGAAGGAGCAGGAACGAAATACTCACACGGTAGGTCGACCAGGAAGTATCCTAAATATTTGAATGTTATTTTCAAGGGTTGTCATAAATTTCCAGAAAATAGTCAGTGAAAATTTGTAGATTTGAACATCTTGCTATTAAATTTTACAAACCAAAAAATTCACTTCGTATTTATAGCCAAACTCGCCAGATTCTGATATAATGCCAGAAGGACATGGACAACCATCTTCAAATAGGAAGCCTTACACGGTTCAAACATTTTTGGTGAGAGAGCAAACATCTCAACCATCTTCCTCAACAAATGGTGCAACAACGACAGTAGGTGTTGTTTTCGATGAAATGGTTGCACATTTACCAGTCCGGAACACGGTGCAAGAAATGGTACGAGTGAATGTAGAACTAGTACCAGCACCCTTGCAGATATCACCCATTTTACATCTATGAAATAAATTTGGGTAATATAATGATAGCTGGCCAACAGTTCTTAGCACTCCGCTAGAAGGATGTATATTGAAATATCTTTATCCTATATCGTCAATTCATGAACCTTTTACATGAACCATCGTCAATTCATGAATTTGTTATAAGGAGCTGGAAATATAGCGTCGTTTCTATTGGATTAGTTAAATAGATCAATGTTTCTGTACTAACAGGAAAATCTTGAAATCTCTTCTGTTGCTTTGAATTGTTATCTTTTGGAACCTGCAGCGTCGTCTACCTGCATCTTCGAAAACCGAAGACAAAAATACTTAGCATGCAGCGTAATTGTGGCGTTCTGGTTTCCATCTCTCTTCGTCCTCTGCATAGAGGACAAAGGAGAAAAAGTAAGGGAGAGGTTGCTCAGTCAAGCAGTACATTCAAAAAAGATTTAACGTACGCTTCAGTTCTCATGAACTCAGTAGAGCTAGTAATACAATATATATTACGGTTCTTGATTATTTCATCTGATTATTAACAGAGCTGTTTTGATGTTATTTGTTAGCATTATAAATTCGTAACCTCAGGTAACAATGTAATCATCAATTCAGGAAAATTTTTGGTGTATAGTAAATGGCTTCAATCTTTTTTTTTAATTGTGCCGACTAATAGATCTGTGGTGAACAACTCTAATTGCTATGTTCGTTTAATATTAATTCCAATACTACCTGAATTATCTTCAAATGTTCTCTGTTTAAATGTATTTTTAAAGTTTTTTAGTTGCGATATAAGTTCAAGAAATCTTTTTGGTCTCATTACTACACGAAATACATATCATACAATTTCGTGCACATATCTCACTTCTCTTTTAATATAAACCTAATACTTTAATCCATTCTTTACTTCTGATGTTCTTTGCTGTTATTTGTTTTTATGGTTAGCCGGTTTCTTTATATTTATACACCAGTGCGCTGTTTGCGGTTTCATTGGCATTACTACTATTTATGTTATTATTTACATGTTAGTTGGTTGGAAGACTTCCTTTCGAAAGTTAATATACAGATTTCACTGCCGAAGATGTCAGTGGATTGTAAACAGTGCATTTAAGTTTGAACGTTTAGACTAAAGCTGGAGCAAATTTTTGAACGTTCAGTTTCAGCGGTGATATACCAAAATAGAATTCTGCCACTGTTGATAGTTTTTTTCAAGATTTAAATTTATTCGTGAGCAATTTTTTCTACCTTTTTTGGACATTTTTAGTGCCATATCCTTTTTTTTACTTTAGAGATTCTTAGTATTCATATCCCCGTGGAAAATGTGTTGCTATAATGTTTTTTGGAAAGCGAAACTTGGGATTTATGCATCTGAAGAAAAATATCGAAAAGTGTAAGAGGGTGGTTATACACTCTCTTGTTAACTCTATTTGGATTATTTAATTCTTTACAAGAGTTTCGTGAGTTATTTACCGTGGAATTAGATTATAGGTCTTTATGGGTATTTCCGAGGTACAAATATATAATCATACTAGCAAAATTGGTTGAAAATAGCTATTTTGTACAGCTTTTTTAATGTATTAAATGATTTAACAATAATGTGTTAGTTGTAGTTTCCTAATGCAATATCAATTTAGCATGTATTTTTCATCATTTTCAACTTTATTCCGTTTTTGCCCATATTTTTTTTGGCAGTTTTCTAATGTTGAAATAAATTCTTTCGTTTAGAAGTCTGTTCCAAAAGGTACTTGAAGCAACAATACAAATTTCGCAATAAGGAAATGCGGTAATTGGATCCGCTACTGTAACAATCTGTCGGTTTCCATCCGTCTGACGTATGATTTCCGAAATGTTCGAGTGGCAGCGTTAATGAAAGCAGCTAGACGTTGTAACTTTTTGGAATTAGAAATTTGTGATAAATTTTAGTCACCGTGAGTATATAGGAAGAATTTTTGTGGGAACTCGCCAGTTTGTCGTGGAACCATTTTAGAATTTTAGATAAGCCGTTATGAAACTATTTTAAGAATTGAAAATCAATCGATCACCTAGCGATTCTGTGTTGAGGATATTTTAAAACTTAGAACAATTCATTAATAAGAGCATGCTAAAATTATGCGGGTACTTTTTTATCGTTATAAATGGGCGCATAGAAAATGAAATTTTACTTTTTATTACTTGAAGCGTGCTATGTGGCTGATTTTATTATCATCATGGTTATTCACTGCTGAATGTTTCCTCATGTGAGTTTTAGTTTAATTTAATTAAAAGTCTAATTTCATGGCAAGAAAATAAGATAACTTAGTCATTTCGTTATATCGTTTTTTACGCTTAGAAATGCTTTTTTTTCTTCATGCCATAATATCTTTAATTACTAATTTATGATTTTAATATTTTTAAATTTAAAATTCAGTATCAAACATTTGCTTCTGAATACTGTTATAAAGTTGGTCAACATAAAAGCGTTAATTAATTTAAGAAGCCATTTTAATTTAAATTAATTATTATTTTAATCAAAACATTTGTTCCAAATTTGATATGAGAGAAGAGATAAATATTTTTTTAATTTTGAAAGATATTTTTGGATTTTTCAACAATCTTCCCAATATTATTTTAAATGGATGTTATTTGCATCGATTACATTTCCACTTTGTTTTGTAGTAAACAAGAAAATAAGAATGATAGCAAAATTGACGATTTAAAATGTGTGATAAATGCTCAACCTTTGTTGCTTAAAAAATGTGTCAGTGAAAAGGATGGCATATCATTGTGCTACACTGTGGAATTTAATGATAGTGATACTATACTATATGGTTGTACTATCACTAGCACGGTATAGTTTACCTATCGATGATTTTACCTGAATCTAATTCATTTTTGAAGTCGAAAATTTCTGACTAATTTCTAAGTAGTAATGAAAAAACATTTCATGATATATATACATTCATTTCACTTTCTTACCTAAATCATTTCTATTGACCAAAAATTTTTTTATTTTTCCGATCCTTTCCTTTGCAAATTAAATTCAATCAAAATCCAATGATAATTATCATTTCATAGCAAATTACTGAATTTTTTGTTTTTTTTTTCATTTAAAAAGTCAAAACTAATTAAAATATAAACAATAAAAATTGTAAAAGATCGGGAAAGTTCAAAGAAATTTCAAAGTTCATTGAAATTTTGAATTAATAATTCTTTCAAAATGATTTTGAAAAACAAAAAGACTGAATCTTCTAAAGAGAAAATTATAATTAAAGCATGGAAAATGGATGGATAGCATAAATTGTCATAATAATACATTCAAAAAATGTCCCATAACAATCGATAAATCTCGATTCCCTCATCAACAATTGCAATATTGCTGTTGCAATACAACGAAATGCAACGGAAATTATCTACACAAAAGTCGTATTTTGAAATATATTTTTTTTTCCGCTGAAATTTCAATCTATCCAAATTTCCTGAAATTTCAATCTTTCCAATTTTTTTACATTTTATTCAAAAAAATTTTCAATTCATAAAAATTGTAACAATCAAAATTTTAAATTTGAAATATGAAATGAAAACTTATGTTTATCTTTTCCTGTAATTTCTATCTAAATGATATGCAAGAAAAACAAAGTGAAAATTATAAAATAAACAAAACTTTAAATAATCATTTAGGAGAAGCAGAAGTATCTCCTGAAGAAACTGATAAAAACATATCAGATATTGCAATGCCAGGTTTTAGCGAAAGTTTTAAATTTCAAAATCAGTAACTGACATTCATTAACCTTTTGTTCTAATTTAATACTTCTAAGTTTTATTCTTTCAAGTTACATCTAAATTTCTAATGATTCAGAATGAGATAAAAGAAGTAAAAGGATCAAAAGAGACTGAAATTGAATTTGAACAAATGGATAAACTTCAAATTTCAAATTAATTATATTTAAATATTGTGGGGGTTATCTTGAATGTTATAATTGCATGATTTACTAATCAATCACATGAAATTTTTACTAAACATTTTACAGAAATGAAAAGATTAGCGCTAGATATCAATTTACCGCAAAGTGGGAGTGATCCATTATTGCCCAATAAAGTGAATAAGACTTCTTGGGCTATCGTTGGTGGAGTGGTATGTGGGGCTGTGGTCATCGCTTGTCTCGTTGGTGCTGTTGCTATTTTCATCAACAGAAGACGACAGAAGCGCCAGGCTGTGTAATCATAAGTTTGCCTTTGCCTTTGAGTAAAGAGTGTATTCCAAATTTTTTACCCCTTTTCAACTATTATCTTATCAATTGAAGTATAACATAAGGGTCAATGATGGATACTATGGATGAATTTCATTAACATAAAGGTCAATGATGGATGATACTATGGATGAATTTCATTATCTCATAAACTTTTCTTGTTCTTTAAAATTTTTAGATTTTTCAAATGTAAATTTTTGGTTGTTAATATTTTTTACAAAAATTATTGACACACTCACTAATATTATAGTTTGAATGCAAATGTTGGAGAGATGGTTACTTTACAAACATTTGCTGATGATACTGATAATAATGAGGATGTTCCGGGAATGATCTGTACGCCAGGACAAAAATCATCTACCAAGGTGATCCATTCAGATCGTACCGATACTATCGTCCCGGCTCAACTTACGCTTTTAGAACAAAAAACGCTGCTACGGTAACGTGTACAATGTAATTTCAAGTTCTCTAATTACAAGATACTTTGGAAGATTGCAAGATACTTTAAGTCACCAAATTTATGACTGTCAACATTTTCACTTGCATTCTACTGCAAACGATTTACATTTCATTTTTATATTATTATTTTATATTATTTTTAGATTATTAGAACTTTTCAGATTAATTAATAAACTTTTCAATTTCTTTATAAATTCTGAAAGGAAATGAATTTAAATTCGATAACTGAGATGCGAAATTAGATATTTATTAATATTTCTTAAGAAGCTGAGTTCAATTTAATTTAAAATTAGCATAACAAATTTAAAATTGATAGGATTCTATGATTTTACATCTCTCTAATTAATCTTTAAAGTTTAAATAGAAATTTCGTTAAGTACAATGAAACAAAATAGTCGACTGAAAGCAACACTGAAAGGGAAAAAACCACCAAAAATCACACGCGTGATAACGTATGCAACATCAGATGATATAACTAATGCTGATTGTTCTGCAAGAGATGATAACGCTTGCAAGTCTTTCTTAATATTGCACAATTTATTGATAGCAAATTAATATTTATAAATTCTACAATGATAACATTTTTATTCTTTTTAAATGTTTAGTTTCGGAAAAAGTCGATGGTGATTTATTGACAAAATTGATTAAAAATGGCCCAAAACAATTTTCATTCAAATTTGAAGAAATCAGAGAAATACTTCTTCAGGGAGCACAAATATTTCTTGAAGAGCCAACATTATTAGAGGTATTGAAATTAAATTAAAACAAATGAGTAGTTTTTTTTCAGATAATTAAAATTATTATAAGATTGTTAAATAATGTTGAAAATGATACTACTTGAAGGAAATAATTTCAGGTTCCATTACCTTGCGTAGTTTATGGTGATATACATGGCCAATATAGTGATTTACATCGATGGTTTAATTTAAATGGATGGCCAAGTCAAGTACGTAGTGTATTTTTAGGTGATTTCGTTGATCGTGGTTCGCATGGCATCGAAGTAGTTGCATTACTTACAGCACTTAAAGTAAGTTCCCTGATAAATTTTCTAAATTAATGCTAATTATTTAGAATTCAATTATCTTATCTTTTCTTTTAAGATTCGCTTCCCGAAAAATATTTTTTTGTGCCGTGGTAATCATGAAGAGGAATCATTGAATCGTGCATATTCGTTTTATGAAGAAGTTTGTGCCAGATTTTCCGGAAATCTCGGTAAATTTAGAATCGAGAAGTAGTAATTATATTTTAATCTCAATATTAATGTTAAAATATGCTAAGTAATTCGACATAAAAGAGAATCAATCGATAATTGTTATTTCAGATGGTAAAGATGGTCGAGCGCTATATCCTTATTTTCGAATTTTGTTCAATAATTTACCATTGGCGGTACTTATCGGAGGTCGAATTCTTGGGATGCATGGTGGTATTGGCCCGAGACTTACTTCACTTCAGGTCTGCTAAAAATCATTTATCCAAAACCAATAATATGTGATATTAAAATCTTTGGAATTCAAGAAAGTATCACTTTCTATCAATGGTTTGAATATGATCCAAAAAATTATAAGAAAGCTGATAAATTTAGGCAATCCGAGAAATTCGACGGCCTTTGCAAGAATTTGAGGTTGGATCACTGCAATGTGATTTGGTATGGTCGGATCCTGATACATCACCAGATCGTACTGGTTTTCGAAGTAATTTTGAACGTGAACCACTCTATGGCATTGGACAACTATTTGCTTCCGATACAGTACAAAATCTTTGCAACACGTTGGGTATCGACATGCTGATTCGTGGACATCAGGCTTAGTCTTTTCTTTTTTGAAATTTTCAAAATAGAATATTAATTTTTGCTGGTTAAATTCAAAATGAATATACAAGAAATTAGACGAATATTGAAATGGTTACTAACAGATGCTAAAAGTGATATTACATCGAAACTGTACTTAAACGTGTTAGTAATAAATTATATATATAAATCATGCAAAGTAACTGTTTTATAAACGATTCGGTAGCTATGTAAAAAGAGAAAAGGATAAAATAAAGGATTCTTAGTTACCTTTTCCTTCTTTAGCCTTTTTTAATACTAACAAAATTCTTTTGCTTGTTTTGGTAGATACATGGCGATATAATTTTGTAGGATTGAAGAAAAAAGGCTATCGCCTATCAAAAAGCCTATCAAAAAAGGCTTTCGCCATTTTTTTTGAACATTAACTTCGATCAATACAAAAAGAAATCTTGACAACTATATTATATAAATAGCGTTTTACGAAAGAAATTTTTTGTTACGGAGATGTCATATGTTCCGGATGAATAGTTTCAAGATTATATCACTTTTATGACAATGCAAAATGACCCGATACATTTTTCGAATTTGATAATAATTTTCAGGCACCACTTCATGGATATGCATTATTTTCGAATGGTTGCATGTTGACTTTATTTTCAGCCCCCGGATATAAGGGAACATCAAACAGTGATATTAATATCGGCGCATCACTTGAAATTTCAACCTCTATGAATATTACCATCAAACAGGTTCATCATATGCTATTCATCCAACCTACATGTTCAACGAATAATACTCAATCTTACTTCTATTTACTTTCTATTTACTCAGTAAACTATGCGACAATGGTGACATCTCTCAGTGATGGTTTTTGAAATCTTTTAAAAAATGACTATTATATAAAATTCTCGAATCATTGTTTCAGATGTAGTAATAATTTGCAGATTCAAGTTACTGAGAAATTTCGTCAGAAACGAATCGCCGACATTGAACAGAGGAAGAAAGCAAATGTCATCAGAGAACTCTCTCAACCTCGTCCACTGTTGAAGAGTAATGAATCGATATCGCAGTCAACATCATCACTTTTTCGATAGATAAAACTTTCAGAACATTTTTGTGCATATGTGTATTGAACAGTTTGTGTATATCAACAGACAATGAAATAAATGATCAAAAAATTGAATGAATTATCAACTCTTCTGCGTGCATAAAATGATGGCTGCTAAAGTTTTGTTCATCTTTCTTTCTTTAATAGTTATCCAAATTTAGCATTCCACAATTGCTATTCTCGGTGTTTTCTATCACATTCTAACATCATATGTTGGAATATGAAATGGCAATATATTCAATAACATATCAAGTTATGAACATTTAGCAAAATTACCGTTTGAAAAAAATTGCAGAAAATATCAGTACTACGACCAGACAATAATTATAATTGTGTAAAGTGTCCCGAACTTATGCAATTTCTTGGCTATCGGGCATAGATACAACTAATAGCAATGTTTAAATCATCCAGACGATATTCTCATAAAGTCACGAATGTATTTTTCTCGAGCGATCCTTGACATAAGTTGATAGGAAGTAAACATGCTGTCGCTAGAGAGACTACGACTCCCGTTCTGCATTTCTTAGAGTAACCAAATCATAGCACTCATCACAACATATACGAACAACATTTGACCCACACGTAAGCTGTACACATTTGCACAAAAACCAAACCATCGCGATATACTACCGTTACTGTCTTGGTGAATGGGCGGGCGGTTTTGGGACGAAGTCTATGATTTTGCCAAATTAAATTTGAAGGCTGGAATTAATTCGATATTAATGGGAGATTGGTTACATGGATGAATAAGTGTGAGAGATTCCTCGTATTTTTTTTATCTTGTAAAATGTAGTGGGGTTGGATCAAGAAATGTCCACTTCTTTAAGGGAGAGGATTTATGGGTAAGGATGTTTTAGAGTGGTTTCTAAACGAGGATACTGTGCGATGTTTCTAAAGCGACGTCATTCTGATTTAATCTTTTGTCATTTTATATCAAGCGTATAGGGCGAGAGATCTTCTTAATGAATGTCTGATTGTTACACCGAGTTATTTCTTTAATTGTATTTCTCTTTCTATGGACAATGAGCTATGGAATGAACTGTATTAGAAAAGAGTAGAATATTTTAGGCTGAATTGGATAAATTATAAATCGAAAAAACACCAGTAGCTATGTCAGGTGGTTCTTCACTGAGTTCAACTTACGGAGATGATGAGGGAGCAGACAATCAGGACGACGAAGATATCGATTTTTATGCAATCCTAAATGTATCAAGAGATGTGAGTTTTCCCAGATCATTTACAAAAATAAAATTTCTATTTTAACCTTAAGTTAATTTTTCATCCCTTGTTATGATGAACTGGCTTTGATGAACGATATATCCCATTCAGTGCCATGTCCGGCTACAGTAGACTTGAATCCGTTGTGAATAAATTTCTGATTGTATATTCACAAGATTGTGAGATTTAGTGTTATATCTAATTGACATAAATGTTATATCTAATTTAACATTAACATAAATGAAAAAATTATTAAATTACAGGCAACTGTAGATGAAATTAATAAATCGTATCGACAGAAATGTTTGATGTTCCATCCAGATCGGCATCTTGATTCTGTTGAAAAAAAGGATGCAGAGAATTTTTTTTTTAAATTACGGAAAGCACATGAAAGTAAGTCCTTCTTTTTCCAACTTAAATTTGCGATGTCGTCGTTGTTCAAAGAGTTTTTGAGCTGGAGAAATTTGTGTACGTAACTTGTATATGTAATTCGTATACGTAAATAACAATTAATTTACTTGCTCTATTTTCACAGCACTTTCCGATCCCAAACTTCGAGCAATTTATGATACAGTTGGACTGCAAGGACTTGAATTGCATGGCTGGGAACTCATTCCTAAATCGGATAATGTCGAAAATATTAGACGGGAATATGAGTTTCTTAAACGTTTACGGGAAACAGAAATAATGCTACAACGGGTTCATCCTTCAGTAAGTGTATTTATCTCAAGTTTATTAATCGTTGAGAGATATTCTTTTTTCTTCCACATAATGTTAATGGTCTTTATGAATGTGCGAAGTCACATTATTGTTGAATTCATTAGCATTCCTTATAATATGGCTCATAATTTCTTTGTTTCCAGAACTTATTTATCTGTAAAACATCCTTGACGGGAGTTTTTGCTGCAAATCCTGAACTAAGGTTTTTTTCTTTATAATTAATTCCTCTGATTAATTTTTTCTTACAATTAAAGTTTTTCTCTTGTTTTCAACAAAAATTAAGAAGAATTTAAAATTAAGTAAAAGATAAATTCTATGAAAATTTTGTTCTCAAAACTATTTTTATACGCTTATATACATATACAGTTCAATTAGTATGAAAGTAAATAATAAAAATGTGCCATAGAAATGCAACATATGAAAAATAGATTACAATTGTTATTTTAGATGTCCTCCACAAATAACCGATTTATCTCTGTCCCAGAATGTCGAATGTGCTATAACAGCAAGAAACAGAGTGGGCTTAAGCGGACGTGTTAAGACGAATAATGGTAAAGGTGATGGAGCATTTATGTTGCATTGGAAAAGAGTGATCTCATCATCATGTCTGGTTGAGGTATTTGTGTGGTTTGTTCTGTGAAATATGAATATGAAGATAATGCAAGGACAAGTAAATATTTGGGACAGAAACTGTTTTCAGTTCAATACAACTTTTACACCAGATTCGATATTACTAGGATGCAAATACGCCAAAACTATGTACTTGAAAAATGCAATTGTGATACAACCTTCAGTGCAATATTTCCCGCTTTATTCAGCTATCAGTCCGGGTTGCACTTTTAGTAAGTTCACTTTGTGTTTCATCCTACAGCTACATTAAAAATAGGTTTATATGAAAAATTAATTTGTGGTATTGTGTGATTTTATTAACTAACCAACCGTTGAAACTCGTTGTTTTTCAGTCCTGTCTAGGAATCTGCATCCATGTTGGCAAGGATCTATAATATATCATTGTGGATTACAATCCTCCTTAACAACATCTTTGATCCATACCGAATTGAATATGCCAAAGTTCCTTATTAATTTGACGGTTGGTTTTTAAGTTTTTTTCTATTTCATTGGCTGACCAAGTTTCAAAGTTGTCCTTGAAATAAAAAATTAAGGAGTTAATTGAAGTGGTGGAAATTTTCTAGGAATCCCTGTTTGTATTATGTATACTAATGATAAATCTAGATATCACCAGCAAATTCAAATATTCGGATGGTCTATACGAAGCGGAGTGTAGAACAAGAATCGTTCATTGAAACTTCGTGCATACTTTCATTAATGGGTATTATGCCAGCGGTTACATTTGAAAGGCGTTTATCAAGATATTCTCGAATAGGATGTAACCTGTCATTTACTTTCCCTTCTTGCCTTTTGCAAGCTAAATTTAGGTGGGTAGTCTTTGATATTAGATCAGTAAGTTCATTATTTTAGAATATGCTTTTTAGGTGCTATTTTGTTTTCCACTTGTATGAATTTCATTTAAGGTTGAAAACGGGTGCCTCGGTCTACGATTATCAATTTCTCTTATGTGACAGTGAAGAAGATTTAGCACGTTCAACTTTATATGGTGTTATTATACCGATTGCAGCGTTTTACTTGTTGAAAGGAGTTTTTCGACACACATACGAACGTTTCATGTCACTGTTTGAGGATCGCTCGGAAGAGCGGCAGGTATTCAAATATATCAATTAATAGAGAGTAAAAAGCAAGATCAGTACTTATAACATTACTAAATAAATAAGGTATTTATTCGCGTTATATTGCTTACCTGAAGTATATTCTTATATGATCATTTGTTTTTCAAAGGATTCAGAAGTCCCGCATTTAGGTGGATGTTGTTAAACGTGAAGAAGCAAGCAATGTCATAGATCTGATGAGGCGTACAGCGGAACGAATAGCAAAAGAGGAAGAGCAGAAGCATGGTTTAATCATTGTTGAAGCGAAATATGGTCAGATGGTTGGAGAAGGCCATAATGCATTGTCGTATCCACTGTTGGGCGATCGAGTTATCGACGTCACTGTGCCATTACAAGCTATGGTTAATGATTCGCAGTTGAGGATATACTCTGGAAAAGTAAGCAGTCCTCTTGTTTCATTTTTACCGTATCCAATAGTTCCTTTATTATATTTTTAGCATCATAATTTCTTTGTATTATAGTTCTTATTATATCTATAAAATGCTGTTACGTGATACTCAAAAAAGAATAACGGGGTGTTGTGCCAACTCATAGCCCTTTAGATGTTTAAAGAGATAGAATAACAAAATTATACTCATTTTTATTAACAATATCTGCCAAAAGTATGCAGTTCTTTAACAAAGAAATCTTAGACCAAAATTGGAAATTTGTTCAGATTTATGCTGTACAGTGTAAGTATTTAACAAATGCTGAAAAGAGATTTCGAACTGATGTAGCAGTCCTTAGTCAGTTAGATGCCAAACCTGCTATAAAAAGTTTGATTTTTGATCATGTAATTCATGAAGCTGCTAAAGGAATCAACTTAGGAGACCTTAATTACTGTATGGTCATAATGACTACAAAAAACATCAATAGTAAATGAGCGATCATTGAAAACATGTTTCGTGTAGTTTTATGTTCTTCCGTTTTTGTTTCTATGAATATTACTCTGCGTTTGCAGAGTCAATTACCAGGATTTTATGATCCGTGTCCGACAGAATCGAAAATGCTGCGAATCGTTTACAAATATAGAGATCAAATTCATTCCGTATCAGTTCCGGACGAAGTTGCTTTGCACATACCAATGACGTGTTAGTTTTTTGGAGAACGTTCTCCGCAAACCAACGATGCAACAATATTGTTTGATTTGTAACTTGAACACAAATTTAGTTAATGCCTGTATTAGTAAAACTATCAAAAAAAAAACAAGTCTTTGATGAACGGTAGCATGAGTTTCAAGGCATTTTTTTCGAGTCTTTTGAAGTTTTATTTAATTGACCGTGTGGAAATTCATTTAATTCGACAGAGAAAGAAAATCATTTGAAAAATTAAAAAGTGAATTTTTGTTGTGTGTGATGAGAGGCAGGACATTTTTTCTCAGAAACATTTTTTTTACAGCTCATCGTCTGTCTCCCTGACTAGCACGATTAGCAGTGTATGGGCATGACATTGTGCAGGACGGTTCTGCTCCGATTGGTCGATGATTGGTTTATTGTGTGCATCGTGATCATCGATGATAGCTTTCTTTGCTATCAACCTGTTTGCTTCTGTAGTTGATTTTTGCATCTGATTTTGTTTTTCATAAATTCTTATAAAAAGGAGTAATTTAATCATTATTTTTGCTACAGAGTTCACTTTTGCATATTCATTTAATATTCTAATACTGAGATTTCGTTTCTGGTAATTTGAGCTCTAGCTCAAATTGAGCTCTAGCGGGACACAGAAGTCAGCTTAGGATTTTTCAATAGTCTTGAAAGGGAAAAAGAGCTAGATAGTAAGAGAAGAAAAGAAGAAATAAACAACGAGAAAAATTATTATTATCATTGATATTATATTCAGCATATTATTATTGTTACATTATTATCACTATTACTGCTATAGATATTATATTTAACATATTATTGCTGTCACTATTACTGTTATATTATCATTAAAATAATATAACAGTAATAACATTATTATTATTATCATTAACAATGTAGTATACTGTTCCTGCGAGTCATATAGACTTTTTTAAGCGAAGTTTTGGCTCACTACTCAAATTGCAAATTCAAGGCAGTACTTGAGAGTTATGAAGTAGCATTTTTCACCCATTCTTCAAATATTTTTATTAATTATTTCACAGTTTCAACGACAAATTAGAATGATGTTTTACTGCATCCAGACTGCTAAATACTGGTAATAGACTGAGGGTATGTCACAAATTTACGAAGCGGAGTTCATTGGAGAAGTTTCCAGCAAAACAATCTGTGTTGTCCTTCTGCACATTGTTTCATATCGCATGTGATTTTGGGAATTTTTCTTTTAAAAAAATCTTACGGTTCATTTCAAGCGGGATGTTTACCCTTTACTGTTATCTATCATATGGATTTTAATAGTTTGGTTAGGAACGATTGATTATGGTGCTCATATCTGCTTGATTGATTTTTGACAAGAAATTAGTGTTGCCGATTGTATTTGCTTGTTTTTTTGAAACACACGACTGTGTTTAAAATAATATCAAAAATCTATGTGCGTTATGTGCTTGTTGTTGTTTGGTTCGTTTTTGGCAGAAAGTATTTGGACGTGTTGGTACAATTCAAGAAAAGTATGGTATTGCTAATTTCTATATTATATAATTCAGCCTTATTTGTGCCACAGTATTTTTATACCTCTGAAATATGAAGATAGTGGTGTTATCCTGGTAGATTAAATGTTTTTATTGGGTGACTCTTGGTTTTGTTTTGTTTCATTTTTTAGCTGTTGTTTTCATACATTTCCTTTTGCTAACTTCTTGATTTGTTCTACAAGTCTGTTGTTAAATTTTGTTATGATTAGAGATTTCTTTTAAAATAGAAGTTCATATTTTCATTGTTGGATATTTAGTACTTTTTGGCTACCATTATTTAACTGGTGCTTAATACCACTATTTACTTTTAATTATTTTATAGCTTTGATCGTTTGGAACTAAGAAAGAAACTTCGCATGCTTTTGCTACTGTCCCTGTTTGTAAGTTGTAGTCTTCAGTCTCTCTATTCAAAGTTTTTGACGTACAATGCAAAAGTTACTATTAGTATTATAAATCAAAAACTAGATGGTACAACTCCTCATTTTTTTTATAATAAGTTTTATTTCCCGTAGAGTAGTCCATCTTAATAACCTTCTATCTCTTCACTAATATTGTATAAAAGTTTAAATAAAAAAGCTGAAATTCTAAAATTTTTGCTTACTGCAAAGTAAATAGGAAATAACGATAGGGAAGCGTTCCTTCAAGAATTGTGGTCTTTCTTTATTTTTCGTTTACTTGAAGTTAAATTTTTAAACATTGTCCCTTAATGATAATGATTTAATAGATTTATCTATTTACCGCAAGATTCCAATGGTTAACTTCAGTTATCTTCCAAACATCTTTCACTGATGTTTTTGTTAAAGCCAACTGGGACTTGGGATATTATTTGCTAATATCATTGATGAAAACTTCAAGATCTTTCAAGATTTCATGACATTTAAATTTCAAAAAGCAAACATCGGAACACCAAGTTTGAGTAACTATGGCTTTGAAATACTATAATAAATAGTGTTTCTTATTTGATTTCAAGTGCAATTTCATTTCTACAGTAGCATTTAACAAAGAAATAAATATTTCAATATCAGTTGTGATGTCAGATAGATTAGTTAAATTTCATGCACATTTAGCAGTACCACTGACTTGTTCATTCCACTTTAAGATTACTTTTTAGACGCAGTTCGATTCTCAAGATTATATACTATTTTTGGTTGCCGCTGTATCACAAATAAATTCACATCATGTCGGGAAAGGAACAATCGGGTAACAGCATACCATCAGCACCAGTAGAAGGCGATTCTTCACTGAGCGTATTTGGTCAAAATACTTCTCAGGTAGTATATCAGCAGCCGTCTGTACAACCTGTACTTCTTGGTCCACGGCCTCGGGTCAGATGCGGTATGGAACTTCCACCGTACAGGTTATTCCACTTTACGACACATTTTGGTTATTAAAAATTACTTTTCTTGGAAATTTTAAATCGTTCTAGCGGAATGAATTAGTATTATTCTTCCATTGTCTGTATGCTGAAATTTGTCAATATGAGTGAAAATACTCTGAAATTAACTTACTAGGCATTATAGAATGACTCAGCCAAGATTAGCTGTGATCAATGAGGTGAAGTGCGATAGATTGAATTGAATATTCTTGCAACTGAAAACGTTGCATTTTCATCACTTTGTGTTCACCACCTGGAAGACCAAGACCAGACAGTACAGGTTATCTATAAAACAATTAAAGCGTCCTTGGTTTTTTGCAGAGAACCTCCTCCTTCATATCAAGCAGCAATGGCATATCCAACTGTTTCTGAACCATATTTGACTAATTCGGATGATACAACTCTTCCGAAACCTTATGGTGCTGTTCCTCCATATCCTTTTCTATCAGTTCCGAATCAAATGTTTCCACTAACACCACCACCTCCATTACGTTTGTTTTTAAATTTTGCATTTAATCTATTAAGTATTGTCTCTGAGATCTCATTTTTCGTTGTGTACAATTTCCTATGTACAAAGAGCAGATTACATTTGATAAAGCGAGCGGAAATGAAACCGATATCACCTATATGAATAGATTATAAAGTAGAAATCACATTTCAATAGTTCGAAAGATCTTCACTTTCTTTTGCGATTATTTTGTGTGTACTCGGTAGATCATTAGATGCATAAAAAGGTCATTAGATGAGACGCAAGCAGGCTTCAGTTTCACTGCATCATTCAAAAAAGCGATATTTCACGAAATCCATCTTAACTTGATCTATATTCTTAATTTTTTAGCTTCTGCATCGTCACAACCTCCTCCAGTTGCCGTACCACGTGCAGGACATTGCACCAACTGTGGAGTAAGTTCAATTTTTTCTGTTAGATTTCGTTCTTTTATCATAATCGTCATAATCTGATTTGGGACAATGGGACCCACGCTGATTGGCATACATCAGTTTACTCAGTTAAAGATGTAAACGATTTTTCATTACTAATTTTCTTTCTCCTTTTAATCTTCAATATGAGTTTTTTTGGAGTTTTCTTTTTTTTCGAAATAGGTTTTGCTTTCTTGATCTCTCAATGCTTTCCAGAAACTTCATTTTCATCGTTATCAGTGAACTTGATAGCTGTAAAGACATACTTATTAGATTTTAACTCTTCATCTCTCTTTTCGAGTGTTGTTTTTCAGATTGGAATTCTCTCTGGACAGACGGATTTGTTTTGCTTAATCTGTCTGGTGTTACTAGCAGTATGTACATTTCCTATTGGTTTACTCTTCCTATGTTTCATTCCCTGCACAGTTCACAAACGATGCAATCACTGCCGCAGAATTGGATAGCCGTTGTATGCTTCCGACTGAACGCTTATGAATTTACGTAACTGATCTAATTCACGTATAAATTGAAATCAAAAATTTTGATTTGTTATCCCAAAAGTTAATTTAAATAACAAATCGACTGATTATTTGGGATATTAACCTTCACTTTGGCAGGTTAGATCAATCAACTTTCAAGTTAGCACTGTTATCCAGTAAGCCCTTTATTGAAAATTATTTTTAATGCCTGGTTGGAATAAACTTCCCTTTACAGCCTGTTATTCTTTTTACCTGCATTGTGAGTGCGATGGATCTGTTTGCGTTGTCGAATATGGCTATCATATATTGTTTATTATAATTTATATAAGGTGCATGTTTCAGTGATACTAATGTTGTGTTTAAAGGATTGAGATGTACCTTATTCGGTCTACAATCCAATCCCTGTGGTCTACTCGTCATGAACACTATCTGTGCTAACTGATTATGCAACCTTTACAACTGGCTTTTACAACTGTTATAATCATACTTTTCTTTCATTCTTTTTAAACTTGCTCCTCAGTTTTTATCTTTCATATCAATTCACTGATGCCGAAGAAACTTTCTTTCAGATAGCTACAGCCTCACTTAACTATCTTTGAAAATGTCATTTTGAAAAAAATTTTTTGCATTTTGTCTCTCTGCATTCATCTCCATGCATTTCATGTGTAATGAAAATAACCAACTAGTTCGAGAATTATTATCTTTACATATTACAAAGAATATTATCGGTACTTGATAAGAGTTACTGTTTCATTCTTGTTCATGTCAGCATTATCTATTCAGTCAAGCTTTTTTTCTTGCTGTTGACTATATATTATGAGTTTGCAGTTGAGGGTTGTATATTTTCTTTGTATTCTTTCACCTTCAAATACTGAAGAAATAGGAATAGAAGTTTCAATCTAGCATATTTTTGCGTGATAAAACTGATTTTTATATAGTATCATCACTTATAAACTATGAAAATACGTATCGGATTAAATGTCCTATTACCTGTATTCTGCCTTATGTCCTTTTTCCTATTTTTTGTGATTGATTTGTTTTTTTTCACTTCTTATATCATATAATTCTCTACTCTTAGTATTTGAAAAAGGAAGTGATGCAGTACAGATTTTGAATTACTTCCTAAAATAAATTGAATTAATATTGAGTTTATTGTTTTGATCCTTAAAAGCTTTTTGGTTCGAAATAAGTAGAAACAGATATTTGCTAAATATCCTATTAATGCTTTCCGGATGAGGTTCGTCCTAGATATTTTCATCGTTTAACTTTCTAGTATAAACACTGGCAATGTTCTATTCACCTCTATGTTGCCTTATATTCGCTTTTTAGTAATCCATAATAATGAATCATAATCAATATGCAGATGCATTAATTTAATTGGATTTTAAATTCATTGTTATGTAATTTGAAGAAAATTTTTTAAGTAATTAATATTGATATATTCTCAGACAATCTATCCGGGTTTCTGTATTAATTTTGAATAGTTGATGAGGATTTTAGTTCAATACTAGTTACTTCAGAGTTCATATAATCATTGGTATCATTATTATTCTCTATGATATAAGTAAACTCTTCGATAATGTGCATGTGTGCTGGCAGTCTTAAATTTCTAAGGAAAGTTCTTTTTTAATTTCAAGAACAGAAGTTTGAAGGTGTTCTTAAAAGTTCTGCAACCTTACCTGCTGCGCTAATGGAAGCTCGAAATATCTGTGTTCTAGCAGTTACGGATTTACACGCAATAACTCTTAGATTACCGAAGGATAAGCTGGCTAATAAATTTGGTTTACAAATAGCGGAATTGAAAAGAAATTATCACCCCGTATTTGTCTAATAGTTGTCCTTCATTGTAATAAGCTATTTGATCTTATAAAGAATTTAAATGTAAATCAATAGTAGGGATAGTGGATTTAGAAAAATTACTGCTTAATTGACAAACTCACTAATGAGTAGCATTTGATTGAGTCACTTTTATTCGTAGCTGAAACATTGCCACCTCATTTATGATTTTAATTATTATATAAGCAACATTTTGGGAATTTAGAGCAGAAGCGCAGAAAAGAAATGCTTTATCACAATGGAGGAAAGAGAAGTTTGTGTTTAACGAAATTGAAGAAAATACTCCCAATTCAATTTCGCTTCATTAACTTTTTTCAATTAATTAATTTGATTTAATTTAATTTAATTAATTAATTTAAAGTTTCGTTAATTTGATTTAATTAATTTAACTTAATTAAATAGTTCATTAATTTTTTTATTTTTTTTGATTTGTCTTCACGATTCAAAAAATTTGAAACACTGTTGTCGTGTATAAACTGTAATTTCACGCTGAATTTTAAGTATTTCAGTTTTTACGAATCAAGTTGAAGATTGTCGTATCTTCAGTTAAAGATGAAATTTATCAAAAAATAATTAAATGGATTTGCAAAACTACTTTAATCATTAATGATTTATTTTAAGCAATAAGCGGCTGAAAATACGAGGAATTAAAAATTAAATTAATTAATTGAGTGGAAATTAAAATCTGAAAAGTGCTTTTTGTTCATTTGGAAAGAGATATTACCAAGAAATCTTTTAAACTGTTTAAGTTTTCGAAATCTTAAGCTGTATAACTGAAATTGAAGTTTCGAATAAACAGCAAAATTTCGAAAAATTATACTTCATATCTTGATGATTGAGAATTTCAATCGTAAAAATTGAAGATTGCCTAATACTTCATAGCTCCAGGAATTTCCGGGGAAAACGGAAAGATCACATAAGAGAAGGATAACGACAAGATTTCAAAGAATTTGAATTGAAAAGAATCTTTTAAAGTAAATAAATTTTTCGACTAAAGACATTAAACTTTCTACTAAAGATACTAAAGACATTTTCTACTAAAGAAGATATTTTTATTCTATTCCTTCAAATCTCTTCTAAAATTTCTAGACAACAATTTTCAAGTCTCTTCTAAAATTTCTAATAAATTTCTAGACTCATTTCTTTCCCGCTTCTAATTTAATATTTTAAGAAAAAATTTCCTTAATACTTACACATCTCTAAGCGATCGATCAATAAATCTAACAAAGTTTTTGTGTGAAATAAAGCATTTTAAACGATCCATTTCTAAATAAATTTATTACTAAAAATAACTTTTCATTTTTTAGTATTTTTCTCATACTGATTGAAATCAAAGTATTCAAAGGATTTGAATTATAGTTTAAATGAGATGGGAATAGTTTTTCATTTTACATTCGATATTTTGAAAAAAAAGAGTGATCGAAAAAAATCTGTGTGAAAGAAAATTATTGTTGAAGGTGGTAACAAGAATGAAAATTTCTGCTGAATACTTTTAAAATTAATTTATTGATTTTTTTTTTTTGAAAATTCAAATAGCATATTCAAAGATGTGTGATATACGACAGTATGTGTTTCTTCTACGTTGGCAATGCTTATTTAAGAATAGATGGATTAAGAGAGTTATCTTAATAACCTTACTTTCAGTAATATAAGATATTGTAAAATTGTAGAAATGATTTCGGAGTTTTTTCATCAGTCATTATATATTATACTCATTTCTACTAGACCCAAGATACTTAATACAGGTGATAATAATTAATGGATACTATACCAATTGTCTGTCAATCTATTTGATGTCTTTAAGGTCTTACTATATGCTGCTCTCTGCGATCACATATAATACAATTGATATTCTTTTATGCATTATGGAATAGGAGAACAAATTTCTGTCATTCATTTAACGGTCAATCAGTCATTTCTATAATTTTCTGTTGACCTTTCAATCAAAAAATATATTAATGAATAAATTCGAAATTAAAAAGTACACAAATGATGAGAATAGAAGATTCATAAATAATAAGAGTAGCAATAAGCTGCGAAGCTAATGTGGAAAAATTGATAAGCTTATCAGAAACAAATATTTATATGAGAATAAATTAAATAATAATCACATTGAGGATATCAAAAAATTCAAGGATAACTATCACTTGCTTTTTCTAATCCACAATTTATCAAATGCTTAAATAAATATAATAAGCATGAGCAATGAATGCATACATTTTAAATTTTATTTGCAATTTTAGATTCTAAAATATTGATATCATAGTATTATCATTGAATCATAATTGATAGCTAAAATGACAAGAATACTGAAAGAAGAAGGAAATTATATATACATTATATAATCCTTTCTCTATCATTATAATTAAGTTTTCTTTTTCTCTGCTTTTTTTAAATCGATTAAAACTACATTTATAATATGCTTTCTGAATGCTATGAAATGAAGATACTCATATTAAGTGTAGCTATCCACACGACTAATTTCAAACTTTGTGATAATGTCATTTGTCAGAAAACTTAGTCAAATCAGTTATAAAAATTCAAAAGACTGAGAAATGATATGATGAATAAAAATTGCTATTATTTAGCATAAAATACAGCAAATTATAGTGTGCAGTGCTGATCCATTATATATTACATTATATAGAAAGTATGAAACAGAAATTTCTGTATCAAACCAACGAAACAAATGCTTCAAGTTGAAAGTTCACAATACTTCTTCATCTTTTTCTTGAAATATCAACTTTAATGGAAGATAAAGACTGATAAATGTTTCACATCTTTAAATTAATTCACCGAAAATTATGGAAAAAGTTTTGAATTCAATAAAATATAAAGAAATGTATGAAATTAAATTAAGTGCTTTACAGTTGAACACTGTAATCCTCAAATCTTCTTGTCACTAATAAATAATCAGCTTTAATTAGTTTAATTCCTTTTAATTTTATTATTTCATTACCATTGACAAAGTATTATAGCCATGATGCAATCAATTTTGAACATATTTATCAATATCATCGAAACGAATTATAAAAATTTTATTTCTGTCATTAAAGCAGAAAACATGAATATGCACAATATAATGTGTTCTATATAGCATTTATCTTTCAAATGTAATCGTACAGTACATGATGGAGGCCCAGAATATTACCTGGAATTTTATTAATATACATTTTGAAATGTAGAAAATGTTTCATGTTTGTCTTGAAATCTTAGAAATTATTTTGTTAGTTTCTTGAGTGTTTTTGAAAAATGATCAGAAAGATCAGTGTCTAAAAGACGCCATGTACAATTTACAAAAATTAACTTCATGTACAGCGATCTTTTACGAATTCTTTTTCCACTCTCAGTAGTTTCATCAGTAGTTATTGTTGGTGTTTCGGGAATTTCTGCTTCTTCTGTTATATCGTCCAAAATGTGCTACAATAAATTCAAAGATTCTCATCAGTCTGTTAAATTTCTAATGCTTAAAATCCTTCTTATTTTTCATCTGAAGTATATGAATAATTAATGACTAACCTCTACTTTAATATATTCTACTCGCTTTACATTTGGTATACGATTTACGGCACATTCGGCAACTGGCGGTGGCTTAAGATCGCCTTTTTGCATATCATGAAGTTTTTTACAGATAATTTTGAAAGCTGGTCTATTGTCTGCATTTTTTATCCTAAAACGACTAGAAATTATTCTGCAATTTTTAGTAGTAATTATATGAGAAAGTTGAATAAACATTTTAAATCAAAAACTAGTTGGAAGTGAGGCATGAAATTAAGTACAGGAGTTGTAACAGAAATGCATGTGTATTTGAAGTACATCATAAGAAGCGAAAAGCACAAAGTCCATGAGGAATCTGAGAAATTTATTAAAAACTCGAACCATATCATTGAAACCAAAACTTTGATTTCTGGTGGTGTTATTGATGGCATTATTGGCATTCGGATATGCCGAATATTTGTTGCTATCTTTTTATTTTCATCATCCGGCCATGGTTTCACACCCAAGTTGAAAATCTTTAGGAATATAGTAAACAAGAAATTCAAACAATTTTGTGCAATCTGTGGTAAACAGAATTTCTGGAAAGACATCACTAATATAAAAAAATATGACTTTATAAAAATTGTAGTCAAAAATATACATTTCACTGTCAAACCTCATATAAAAGAACCCCAAATGACCATATATCACTCTTTTTCGAGAACTGAGGATTTCTGACGAGCGTTTCTGGTGCCATCCATCTAAATATGAGATCACAATTGAACACAATATTAATTAATTGATAATAAAATTTGAAATAGGTGATGGTTTTTCATTAATTACTCCTTCTTAGAGTACTTTACCTTACAGCACAAGATTTCTACATATAATGCAGTCAACTTAGCGTCAAGCGTGTACCTGAATGATAACAGTAATAGTAGATATTGTTGTATAATATCTTGAACAAAGAGTTTTTGATAAATTTAACCTCACAGGAATATCGGTCATTTCAATATCATTCTCTCTACCAAGTGCGTCTGCTTTACTAAGACCGAAATCTGATATTTTTACTAGACCGTCCATCGAAATAAGACAATTGCGTGCAGCAAGATCACGATGGAGACAACCTTGTAAGTGCAAATATCTCATGCCAAGTGCTGCCTGCAAATTTATTTCTAGAATTTGTCTGCAGGACTTTTCAAAAACTTTTTTATTTTCGATTAAATTCAAAATTTTTCTATTTTTAAATATTCTATCTACCTTATTTAAGAAAAAGAAAAGAACTGATGCAACCTCTAAACAATATTCAATTCGCTCGCCAACGACAATATTTTCCTTTTGCTTTTTAAGATGATTTTCTAAGCTACCACCTGGACAGTACTCCATTACAATGGCTATTGGTGGTCGGTCGCATGCCACTCCATAGAACTGCAACGCTCAGCATTTATTACTTCAAATATTTTATTTCCCTAAAAAGCCGGATCATGTTTTCAGATGTCATTTTAGTTGCTTATACAGGATACCAACCTGAACAATGTTTTCATGGTTGTAAAAACTCATAATTTTGCCTTCTCTTATCATTGATTGTTTTGCTTCGCGTCTATCACCCTTTATAATCTATAAGCTAATTTGTTAATAACTGAAGATTGAAAAATGAAAACTAAATATTAAAATAATAGAATTTTTAATTGAAAATAGATAAGATATAATGGTTGACCTTGATTGCTACTGGAATAACTTGCACATTGCCATTTTTGTCGCAAGTGAATGTGCCAAGATAGACATCAGCAAAATTTCCCGAACCGAGCGGCGGCTGTAAATCTTTATTATTGAGAATACAATTTATTATTAATCTTAACTGGGTCATGTTATTTCTATGACCTTTATATACTATAATGCTTCATAATGCTTATGAGCCTAACTTATATAATCTCTCTCCAGTAATTGTGATTGATAATGTAAAAGAAAAGTGTTCAATTTTGAAAATACAAAACAATGATTGACGATTTGATCAGATTTTAATAACATGTTGACAAGTAACATCTCTAAATGTCTTAATTGAAATCATTTAAATGGTGCATACTTTATTTTTGTCGTAATTGATCGCATCATGTTTAACAAGCCATTTAGGCTTAGGTACACCATCTCCCAGACGAATATCTCTGCCGCTTACATCTTTTATCTTAATTCTATGCATCTGGAAGCAAATTTCACTTATAAATTATATCAAAACCTTCCAAGAATTAGTAACTCAAGTATTCATTTCTAATATGACCTTGTAATATTGCACCAAATCGTAAATTGAAGGAAATCTTTTTCCCCTTCGAAGCAATGATAACTGAAAACGACCATCCTCGGTTCTGTAAGATCTCGATTTGAAATACTCTGATTGCAATGATTCGAGGAAATCGAATGATTTAGAGTACTGCTGCACAGCAAGGCTGTTATGCAGCATAGATAATCTATTATGAAATCACTCCAGGATATTTGGAAATTTTCAGTCAAGGCTTGAGCAAAAACTATGGAGAAGATAGAGGCAACTAACACAGCAATAGTTAAATGAATATTTCTTTCACCGACATGTACACTAAGAACAATTTGATGCACTCCTTTGTTGTCTGTCACACGCACCAAAAAGTCCCCATGCTTAACTAGCAATTTCCTCAAATTGAGTTAAATTCACGAATTGAAAGGATAAATTGTGCACTTGAAAAAATTCAAATGTATAGCACATTTGGACTATGTAAACTTTTCCTTTTAGACATATTGTATTATTGGTTGACTACAATCCATTATCTGATTAGGCCGTCAATGATTTAAACAGTCTGATCTTACATTTGCATCGCTGAATCACTGCAGATGTCTTGCAAGTTGGATATAGTAGATTGTAAATGCTTAAAGTTCGATCACTACACATTGTCAACTGATTGGTAAGATGATTTATTCTAATTGCTTCAAAATTTCTAACCAATAAAGCGTTATACTACACTTCTTCGATTTCATGAATAGCTGCATGTTCATAATATGTAAAAAAGTATCTAAGTTATACCATATTTTCATAAATTTAAAAAGCCTAACTCGATGTCCTCTCTAGATAGTAAACCATGATACCAGTGTTGATCTTCCAATTCTTTTCGCTGCTGTTTCCTCGATCCCTTGGCGACACCTCCTCTTTTATCTAAGATTTGCACATCTGAATGATTTGTTATGCACTGATGACAACATATTGTAAATTCCATCTTTAAGTGTACAGAAGGGAAATATACAGCTGCAATTGAAGTGGAAAAGATCCTCTGTTCAAATGTCCATTTTCTGAACCATATCGAATACCCATAGCATATCCATGGAATATGTCCACTTCCATCCTTTACTATTTATTTTTGAAACAACGTTAAAGTTCAGATTTGAAGTTGTAGACTGAAGCTATATAAATGAACTCTCCTGCAATCACTCAGAGAGCAAACCTGCCATTATGCTGCTATCCGCTGTAAAGAGAAACAATGATCAAATCTGATCTTACGAATCCTTCAAATAAAAATGAATATACTACAGTCTGTCACGATTTATAGATTTCCAAAATTTTTATGTCGGCGATTATTAAAATTTTAGTTACATTATTAAAATTTTTGTTTAAAATCGGCGATTATTAAAATTTTAGTTACAATTTGGACAACTGGTTTTATATCCTACAGGAGCGTAAATGAGGATCTCATTGAATACAATGAGAATATGCTTTCATAATATAGAAGTTGGTTTACATTTGGAAGGAAAGTTAACATCGGGTGGGACATAAGGAGTTCTTTGTTATGGGAACAGCACGAAATTTTCGGAAAGGTAGATGCTACAGAAAATTCTGTACTAGAAAATCTACTGCAACATAGTGAAATTTTAACTTTATTTCTAATGAAATTTTAAAAATTTAATGAAAGTTTAATGCATTTCGAAGACGGCAAATATTTGTAAACAGTATAAAAACTGCAATATAAAAATAGCCTTGGAATGTTGTTATCATATCAGTGTTTGCAAGTTGACGAGATTTATAAACATTCGTTTAGAAAGTATAAATAACACGGAAACAAATATCTAGAACAATGTGTTCGTACAATACTACAATAAAAATACGGCGATATGGTGATCACTTTGATCGGAAGTGAGTTACGTACCCATCGTCCTATTCACAATTTAAAAAACTTGCATCAACAACACCAAAAACTGCTATAAAGTGATGTGAAAGGATCAGGTAATGCGTGACTCAACCCTATATGGTAAAATATTTTGTGGATATTGGTAAACGTTAAATAAACTTCAAAAAAACTTGGAATTCAATCATATCTTCGACGTTTACTTTCATGTTCATGCTCTCGTTTCCTTCTATTAGCTTTACTTTCGCGATCACCTTGACTTGATTTCTCATTATCTGTACCTTTACCTCGATTTTCCAAATCACTTGAATCTCTTCTTCGTCTCTTCTCTTTCTCATCATATTTTCGTTCCTCTATTTCATTTTCTCTCCGTCTATTTCTGTCATGCTTTCTTGTTTCATTCCGTTGTTCCTCGTTGTTTTCTTTTCCCACGGTAAATGTTTTGTGCTTCTTTCCATTTTCTTCGTCCACTTCATACTTGCTTCTCCTTCTTCTATCACTTTCCTTGTCATAACCTTGTTTTTTCATTTTTTCTCTGTCAGTTCCACGTCTTTCACTCCTTAGTTCGCTTACCATATCATAAGATCCATCTTCCCGACCGCTTTCATTCTTCCGACTAGTATTCTTCGAGGGATGATTTTTTTTCTGGATAGTTTTCGGTGTCTTTTTCATCTCTTCCTTTGTTTGCGATAATTTCGCGGTATGTTTCGATTTCTCACTGTCATCGGTCTCTGATGAAGCTAAAAAATCTCGTGCAATTAAGTTACTCTTTGAAACAAATTTGAAAAACCCAGTAGTCAAAGTATATGTCTAGTTTTTCCGCTAACCGAAAAACAAATTCCGTGAACTAACATGTGCTGGAGGTCAAGTCACTACTGCTTTCATCCGAATCTGAGTCGCTCGATGAACTTTCTGAAGATGACGAAATTTCTTCTTTAACTTTGACTTTTTTTCGAGTTTGGTTCAAATGCAGTCTCAGATCGACTCTGGAAGAGGTAATAAAATAAAGAAGAAAAAAAACATTCTTTTGGAATACAACTATTATTCACTCACTAACTATTGAAAGGTTCGTGAAATATGCCATCGATTTAGAACCATTTCATAAAGAAAAAAGCTTTCACGATAAAACTTTCAAGCAAAAAACTATGCACCATAAGAGGTTATCACTTTATCTCTTTCTGGTGTAAAAAAATCACTAGAGCCAAAGGCCTTGCTTGAAGACGAACCTGGAAATAGCGGTATTTTTTAAATCAGAAACAAAATTCACTTACGTGAGATATCCGAGACCTATCGTGGTAAAGAAATTGATCGAGAAGCGTGTATTATTCGGATTGTCACGAGGGAAAATTTTGTCGAAGGAAGACTGCATTGTCCTAAAACATTTACGTACTAAATAAAACAAAAATTCACTGCTATAAAGACAGCTTGTGAAAAGAAGAGAAATATAGTTTTAAAAAAAAAAAAAAAAAAAAAACGAGATGTTACTAAAGCAACTATTTTGAAGATTTAAATGTAGAAAAATCATGATACAGAAAATAACGTACGGGTCGCGAATTCTCTGCAATAGATTTTCTACGCCTAAAAATTCAGCAAGTTCTTGGAATACTATTTTAATGTATATTCGTCCGGAAGAAGTGGTGTCCTCCTCATTCAATGATATCTGGTCCAAGATCTAAAAATAACGAAACTTTGGTAAACGCAAATCTGAAGCATTGTCAGTTCACCAACGGAAAAAAATGTAAGACAAGCTACTCCTTTTCTGTTGCAAAAAGAAGAAAGAGCATTTTTTTCTCATTCTTGTGAAACAATATAACAATTTGCGCAAAAGCTTACATTCCATGAAATGGCATCGGTTGAAAGAAGATGAGCCACTAAACAGGCCATATTGCGCAATTTGTTGTATTCAAATCGATGTATCGTATTGTAAGTGTCACGAGCAATTCGCTCGAATGCTTCTTGAAATTCCTTGCGAAGCCGACAAAATCGTTCCGCTAGTAAACCATAAAACTTTTCGTAAGTTCTTTGTTGAGCACAGCAATCCACGATCATATTGCAAAGTTCCACCTAAATAACAAAACATATTTTTTCGTTATGAATTGTTCTCAGGACCAAAAAGACAGTATAAAAATAAAAACTAACATCTTGACCACTTTTCAAATCAATTTTAAGTAATTTATGAGCTGCTTCCTGAAAATCGAGCGAAGACTGAATTGTTAAGTAAATGTTGCGCCGAAATGCTACTAAATTCTGTTCTGTGTTGTCGATAATCATCGTATTTTGTTTTTCTCCTAAACCAAGACTAATTTGAAATTAAGAACAGATTCTTTCGAAAAAATAAACTGAGTATTGCAAGTTACTTGATATAGTCAACCAATTATAAAAAATAAAAGCTTTTAAAACCTTGCTGACCTTCTACTGTCTCTTCATCTGGTGTCTCTTCGCTTTCTTCCTCTTCATCTGAATCTTCCTCTGTGAAACCAATTGCATCACGTCGAATTTCTTCGTATTCTGCTTCATGTTTTTCAAATTCAGGATCATATTTAAATACGTCTGAAACAGAAAATGAATTGAACTACGTGGAATAATGAAGTAAATCTAAACTATTGAATTTGAAATATAAACTGAATTTTGAAAAATAATAAAAGCGATGATAGTTTTGTTATAAATTCAATGTTAACAATTAGAGCTAATAAAAAAATAATTAGGGCTTACTTAATTCATTTTCTGGCATAAGTGGATCCTCCAGCGTAATAGTATGCGTTATCTGATCATCTTCTTCTATCAAGTCTAATTCATCGACCACTGCTGGATAAGCCTAAAACAAAACAATGAATAAAACAGGAATAAATGGCAAATGGAAACTTAATGTCGAGTTTCCGAATTGAAGGGGGTAACAAATTGAAGAATGCCAAGTTTCAGTTGCTTTTAAATGACTTTTGTAGTTATTTTTGTTATAATTTTCCAACTATATATATAGACATACATCACGAAAAAATAAAGTGAATGAAGTGACTGTCTCAACCCTGAGAATTGCTCTGAATTGCTCCATAATAATATCACAGAATTTCGTAAATTAAAATTCATAAACTATACCTGGAACTTATCCTTCCGAATGTGAAAAATAACTTCGATCATATACTGAATTCTTTTATCTATATCCGAATCACTTAGAATACTTCGTAACCGATCAAAAATTGCTGAAAACTTCATCTCATGGAAAAATTATAAAAAACGTACAGAAAAGAAGCTCGAGAAGCTGAACTTACCATTTAAAAGTGTACAGAAACTCGAGAAACTGAACTTACCATTTAAAAGTGTACAGAAACTCGAGAAACTAAACTTACCATTCAAGCCACGAGGCGAAATTTCTGATAGTTTAGCACCACATTCTTTCAAAAATGCTACCGTGACCTCTACGGAATCATCAGTTGGGTTTTCAAGCATCAATATCATCATTTCCAATGCAAGGATTTCGTGAATCTGCAATCAGATATTTCTGTAGGAAGCCACATAAATATATGTGGAAGGTCAGAGAGATACAACCACTAGATATAAATTTGCTATGCACGATTCGTGATATTATTAATAAGAATGGTAAAAGTACTGATCTACAGATTGAATAAATCATGTAAGCCAATACGACCGATACACAATTACGATTAAAGATCTTCGCATTAGATAGAGTCAGAGTGGTTGATAAAAATAAGGCAGAAAAAAAACGCACCACTTGCTGGTTGATAAGATGAGCAATAAATTTAGATATCGTGACGGTAGAAGTTTTGTCGTTTCGTTTATAACACCGCTTAAATTGTATCAGCAATCGATGAATGATCAGCATTCCAATATTTGGAAAATGACTGTTAATAATAGCAACTACTGCTGCATATACGTTGGAAAATGTTGGAGAATATGACTGTGCTTGGATTATTGATCGTGCTAACAAACCTCTGAAAATACTTATTCCCTCAAACAGAACGAACTATTTAATGCAATGCTTTAACATTAATCTAAGAAGTTCACAATGTTGTTTAATTACGTCAAAATTAATATAGTTATGAAAAAAATAAACTAAAACTGAAAAACTCGTCATCAACCTGATGCTCACTTCTACATGCATGAATTTCACAACTTAGTTTTCAAGAAAACATAAAAAGGTATAAAAAAATAAATTACAACTATGAAAAAATTCTTTCACCTTCCTCGAATGACGTTTTCACGCAACAAATCTCGTATGACATTAATTAAATTACTGGCATTCGCTTTGTTCACCTGAAAAATGCTAGTACTAGAAAGTGGAAATATTACAACATCATCACTATGTCAACTTATGGAAAAGACGCACCTGCCCATGAATCCGCTTCTTCAAGCGTTCCCAATCCAGTCTTTGATACACTTCACTGTTCTTATCACTGATCTGCTCTTGCATCATTTTTAGTTTAGCAGGTGGGATATATGCACCACCTGTGCGAGTATGTAACAAATCCGTATCCTTTTTTGGCTTTTGTTGCTTCTGTTGTTCCGATGACATGTTTGATTCCTGAAACTTTCTTTTCAATCCTTGACAACTCAAACGTATGACATCGTAACATAAACAATAAAAACAGAAAAAGTCTTTATGAGGGAAACGCTGTACTGATTGATTAAAATATAAAAACATGATCATCAATGTCAACACATTCACTAATAATGAAGCCATATGTTAGCATTTGGCTAGTGAACAAAAGTAGAGTGAACAAAATCAAGAACTGCACTGTTTTTATTTGCCACAGTTACTCTGTACTCATGTAATTCATTCTGACACGCGAATAAAACGTCATTGATGGAAATATTCAACAGAGAAAATCAGTAAAGAAACGAACGCACACGTACTCAACTCAAAAATTTCCCAATACGATAATTCATTAATTCATAGTTCTTATTTCGAATACATATTTTTAAATAAACCCTCATTTATATTTTGTATTATAAATTTCCAAGACCCTGACATTTACATGATTATATCTCAGGCCTAAAAGTTACACATTGCGTTAATACTGCCTTTAACTCGATAAAAGAGAAGAAGTGGCCATACGATGCAACGATTTGTGTTATTCTCTGTCCACTTCATTTCAGGTTAAACTTGTACTATAAGACTGTAATTTTTCACCCTTCCTGCTTGAGATTGGCGTCTTCTGTATTGTCCGTATAATATCGATCTAAAGTCCTATTATAGGGTGCCTAAGATCTCGATCTAGAGCCTATTATAGGATGCCTAAAAGTGGTCTCGATCTAAAGTCATATTATACGATGCGTAAGAGTGATCTGAAGACATGACAATGACTTAACAAGGTGAGCGAATTGATAAGCGGACGCCCCAATCGCCTGTCTGAAAAGGACGTGCCGCCGAATAGAGGTCGGCCAATGGAGAGAAAGGCAGTAATAAAACGTTTGGAAGTTTCGAAGGTGCATGAGTTGGATGGCCAATGGTCAGACAGCAGCGATGAAGCCGTCATTCTTTCGATGAGTAGATAATGTGTCGAGTTTGATACTATTTACTACAACTTTACTTACTCACTTGATCATAATAGTTTGTAAGTGTCGCATTCATCAACCTTATTTCAAATAACGATGTGTCGCATTCACAACAGTGACAATTTAGCGATTGTTTGAGTGGCATTAAGATATCATTTGAATATTGCAAGCTTTCATTCATATGTTCTGTTTTACCAAAACTCGTTTGCATAATTTTCATTTGGGTACAGTGTTAGGTCAAGAAATATAGTATAGTGTTAGGTCAAGAAATAAAAAAAATATCTCTTTCAGCTTGTATTACCGAAAATAATCAATATATTTGCAGTTTTATGGAGTTCATAAACTACAGTTGTTTTGCAGCTTGAAATTACTTTAAAAGTTCTTAAACTTCGATGAAGAAGAATAAAAAGCGAGTAAGTTGTAAAGGACATATATTGAAGTTTGCTTAACAACTTCCAAATTGTTGCAGTTCATTTCTACCTGTTGAACTCTTTCTATTTGTAGCATGCAAAAAAATCCTCATTTCGAAGAAAAAGAGCTCGAACAAGAACTTCAAGTAGTGTCTCCAGTGAAGCCACATGTTGTACGGTTCTGAGCTCCAATAAACAACATGGCAGCATGGTTTCCTCAGTCTCTACTCCATCCAGTTCGAGGTTTTGAATCGGTTCTTCATTTTTCTTGGTTTCTCCACTATTCCATGATGTGCAAGCTGTTTTAGGTCTTCATCTATTAAAAAAAATGCAACGCGGAGTGATTTTTTATCACCTCTTGAATCACGTTCTGAAGGTATGTTATTTTTCTTTTGTAGCTTTTCAACAGTATGTGCACGGTATTCATGAAGTATTTAACAAGATTCATTGTTAATGTTTGTGATATTTACATCCCAAAATATTTTTTCATTTTTGTTGATCATGAGTTTGGATTTGATAAAGTATATTTTAGTAGTATCTGCTTAGATATACACTTCTCATATTAAGCTAAATATTCTTCTTAAATCGTTGTCGCATGTTATTATGGTAGATAGCATGCCTAAATTTCGTTGCATGTTGCATAAAATGTGGTTACTTTATGTCAGGTTCTTAACTCTATACACTGAGTCAATTGTTCTTTGTTCTTTATCATTTACAGTGTCTCATTTCTGGTCATCTACTTATTTTTCGATTAGGAGAGGTAGCGTAAAGTGCTTAGCATCGATTTTTACATCTGTTGCATTCGGCGAGATAGCTATCATTAAAAAATTTAATTTATATTTATCTACAAAAGTAGCAAGCTATACGTATTATAAACACGCTAATTTCAAATGAGTTTTTCAGAGAAATTGAATTCAATTGCATTTTACATTGACAATCGAGAAGAGATGGTTCGCCATATGTTCGCATCACTTCATAGAAAAGAACTCTATGAATTGTTGCCGAAAATTTTGAAGGTTTGCTTCAATTTAATATATATATATTATATGGTTATGTTGCTTTCAAAGCATGTACAATGTGTTTTAAGAAATTGAAAGTGCCGGAGCTACGCTGTTTATGTGTTAAAGAGTTGAATGAAATGTCTAAAAAGAATATATGCGCTATTTTAAAAGGTTAGCTTAATATTAATTTTTTTACAGGTGTTAACAAGAGCGTTATTGTATGTATCTGTTTTTGCTTTTAGTGTTGGGAAATTCGCTTCAGCAAATATATTTTTTTTTAAATGGGAAGTTTGCTTCAGCAAATATTTTTCATTTCATTTCCTTGCGTGCGCTTGTAGTTCTCTAATTTAATTAAAGAAGTTAAAAAAGAAACTCATTACATCCAGTATGTTTTTTATTGCAGGTATTATTTTCAGGAAAGGATTTTGCTGAAAATAGTGAACCTGAAGAAGAAAAGAATGAATCACTTGTGATCAATACTAGTATTAAAAGTATGTTCATTTTGATTTTTATACTATTATTTTGATCACCTGTAATTTATTTTCTTCCTTGATTTTAATATTTTAAGCACCGAAAACTGAGATTGCCGTTGCCGATTCCACAACAGAAATGACTGCACCAAATTTATCCAGGTATATTCTTATAATTTTGTGTGTCAACTTTTACTTGCTCTACTTCGAATTGGTGATGAAAAATACAACATAAATATTAAATGAATTACAAAACACAAACATTAGTTGTTCATTGCGAATCCTGTTTTGATCAAGTAGGAAAAAAACCTAAGATCTTTAATAAAAGAGCTAATCATTAATTTTATTATCTCTTGTTAATTTTTTTGAAAAATTGAACTTAACTGTATGCATTGCTGCTATTTTTAGTATTTTTCACACAGTCGATACAAATGATGACTGCAACAGTATCACAAACCCTCCTCAATTCCATTCTGCTGCAGTTGAAAACATTTCTTCAACCAAGATGCGCCAAGAAAGTGAAACTGTTGTCCACTCTGACTTCTCTGAGGAACATAGAATTTCACTTTTATCAAATCGACATACTGATATGTTTGCGAATAAACATACATTATGTCCCAATGGCCAGGTATTTGATGAGTTATGAAGCATTGATTGCTTTTCTCATTCTTAATTTGTTTATTACTGTCAGGAACAGCACTGGCAATTGCGTAGTTCCTTTAAGAAGCTTACCAAGGATTTTTTTGTTAACTAGCTTGTACAAAATGCAATTTGACCATCGTGTTTTGGTAGCAATTTTAAGATAACTGCAATTATAACAACAGAGAATGATGACGAGTTGGAAGATGGCGAGGTTGTGAGTGATGAAGAAAAGAGTTCGAACTCAGGCCAAGATATTAAGCTGAACAAGGTTTTTTCGTGTTTTGTCGTAATTCTAGCCACTTTAAGCAAGTACCATCTATTAAAATAAAAATCCTAAGATTGTTTTGTATGGTGTAGTGGTTAATATTGTAGCAGTTCGACGTTGTGGGTTTGATTCCCTGGCACTTTCAAGGGCAATCAATCGTGTCCAAATGATTGGTCGCTAATATAGGTGCTAAATTGTAGTGAGGTTGTGTTACTTGTGTGCGGCATCTCTGCTTTACCCACACGAGTGTCAAGAGCTTCCAACAGTAATAAAATAAACTGTCATTGGCACGAAATCGTTCAATTCAGTACGCGTTTCTGCAGTACAGTAACGTGTAAGACACATTTCCACCGGTATTTTATAATAGTTCCCAATGCCATTAGTCAAGTTATTATCTTGAAATAACATTTGTTTCATTCGTCATTCAATATTTCCTATAGAGTGAATTTTCATACTTTTATAACGAGAGCGAAGAATAAAGGTTGAGTTCCTTATTCTTACTTTAGTTACAAGAAAGAATTTTTTGGTGCGTTGTAACAGCGGAAATACGCGTTAAACTGCATTTTTTTTTTCATTATGCAGCAATCAATATCATTAATACATTACATGAATACATCGCAGGAAGATAACATAATGTTTTGCTGATTGCTTCTTGTATTTTAATTAGGAGCAACAAAAGACAACATGTTTCTACTTAAATGTAGAGATTGTGTTCGTGTAACTGAATTATGGTGATACTGAAGAAATCCATTTTTTTATATGGAGAAATCATGTTGTTTGTATGCCTTGCATTCTATGAAAGTAAAAAACTTCTAGTGGGAATTAAAAATAATATTGTTTTTTAAGGATCGGAATTGTAGTCAAAATCTCACCATCCATAAGGATCTTTTTGCCGTCAGTGCACAAGATAATTCATCGCCATCATCAATATCAAAAAATTCAGAATAGTAAGTGTTTGATGCAGATCTGATACTCTCGAGTTTCTTTTAAAAGTTTCAAAATTTCGTATTTTTCTTTTAATTATATAGAATATATGTTGAGAAAAATGCTAGTGATTTTTGTTTAATAGAATTTTTCAGTATCTGCAGTTCTGAAAGTTCAATCGACATAACTAATAAAGTACGAGAAGAAAGGAGGCTCCATATGCTGGAATTAGAGTTGAGAGCTCGTGCAATTGAAGCGCTTATTAAACGAAGTGATAATAAACCTTAAATAGTCTTTCTATTTGTCATTTCCAAACATGGTGTGTGTGTGAGCGTAATTTGTTTTCAAGTTACCAGGAGGTTATAATGCGAATACATAGAATTTCTTCCTCTAGGAGGTGGGAAAAACGCTTATATTTACGTAAAATTTTTGTATGTGTGATTTAAATAATTGATGATTTAAATGTTGATCAAAATATGTTTTTTAAATCTTTATATATTCCATTGACATTATATTAGCGTTTATTACTAGCAATCTTTTGAGCTTAGCATTGAAATGATGATTACGTTTTCGATGATTTTTTAGCTATCATTATATTGCATTATACCATTTTACTATTATACTACCATTATACAGTATTTTAAATTTAATAAAGTACTGTGGCTGTTTGAAAAAAATTAATGGAAATTTCTAATTTTATATTATGCTGCTTTTCTAGTCTTTCAATGGGAATTTTTGTATTTTGATAGAAAATTTCATGTTTAACGATAATAACATTTATTTCCTGGAGATTATTGTTTTTCTTTTTCAAGTTGAAATAAAGTGATTTGAAATATTTTACTTCCATTTTCTAGTCACATATTCGAATAGAATTTACGGTTTTTCATTTTCCAGAATGAGAAAATGTGCTATTGATATTGGCTTTTTCTGTTACAAGTGAATAACAAGATCAATGATACTTTCTGGAAAATATGCATTTCCTTCCCTTCAGCAATTAACAGTATAACGCTCCAGTGTAAAGTATCGGTGAAAATCACAATTCAATCGATTATTTTTATTTTTCATTTTTAAAGCTGTTCATTTCTACTCACAATTCAGCTATTTACATTTAACTTTATTTGTTAAGTTGTCTGAGCTTTTCATCGTAATGATTGCAACGGTAATGATTTTCAGTTTGAAATTGTAGAAGAACGACTTTCTTTACGGGCACAGAAGACGCAAAAGTTGTGGATACCGGTTATCAGCTTAGATGCATCGTTTCCGAAGTGCTCAATCAGCCAGATCCGGTTGCAAACTGTCAGCTGGGGAGCACTGTTTTGCGTGAAATGGCACGTTTTTTTGCCGCTGTCGAAATATGCAATCTAAATCTCAATATTTACTTTTGACGCTAACTTTTTTTCTCTCCTTTTCCTCCTCGAACCATTCACTGTGCTAATATTCATAATAATTCTTAATTCAAAAATTGTGCTTTAATATTAAAAATTCTAACATTGCATTTTGCTTGGAAGCATAGCAGAGCACATTCTTTTGGGCATTGTGTACCAATTGCTTTTTCTAAAATTTGTGAAACTGATTCATGTAAATAGTCCGTTTTCAAGACAATAATCGACTGTTGACAACCTGTAAATTTTTCGCATTAATTTCATTGTAACATTGTCTCTCATAATTTACAGTGCTGCTATGAAATTATCCGAATATAAATGACTCCGGAAATATTCCTTAATCTATGAATGTGTCTTTTAAAACAATAGTTTATTTGCTGAAGCACTAATTTCACAAACTATCCAACAGTGCAAATTTTTATAACACTTAACAGAAAGAATGAATTTTTAACAGGATTTCCAATTTCTAAATTTGAATTAGGTCTTTCTAATTATTTAAATCAATTACAAATTATTTAGAAAGAAAGAACTTTTCAAAGTGATGTGATGATCATCTTGTCTCCCACATATATCTGAAAATGAAAAACGAAAAATATAAAAAATGGTAGGATGAAATTGTTTGAAAAGTATTTTCATGGGATTGTAAAATGCAAACAAATAAGTTAATATTGAGAACTAATTTCTTGGTTCTTTGCAAAAATGAAGATAAAGAGATATTCACGTTTCAGCAGAACACTTACCACTTTTTGCAACGGATCCAGCTCGTATGGTACCGGATACTCGTCTAAGCGATTTGTTCTCGCTCAGTAACCTATCAGTAACAGCTAACAGGATTATTATTTGTATTATCACTAAATTATATCCTTGCATGCTGCAATGTTGCCCTATATTAAGAATGAAAAGGCATTACTAGTAAGCATTGTTGAACTCTATAAAATAAATTGATAATTTATTGAATATTATCATCAATGCCTAACTCTAAATTGATTAATAATTTCTTGCGGTTAATTTAAAGACAAAATATTAGGTTCTTCTAAAAGAACAAATTTATGAGAACTTAAACTGAAAATACAACTAAGTGATTAAACCAATCATAATAAAGACATCCATTCAAAATCACAATCCATAATTGTCTTTATGACTTTAAACAAATCCGGCGAACTATTATTTCAATGATTTACAGTGAGTGCAGTTTGTGATCTTTTTCTTTTCATCGATATAATAAATTCAAGGAAAAATCCATTTGAAGAAGAATAAGTGCCGAAGTCGTTGAAGAAATGGTTGTTCATATATCAAAGAAAGTTTTGATATTTATTTCAATAGAGTAATTGTTGTAAATTAATGTGAAACATATTTCAATCCACTAATTACGGAGCCATTCTCTGGAGATTTAAATAATCTTCTTATCAAAATTAATGTGAAATTTATTTCATATTAATCAGTCAAAGATACGAGTGAATGTATACTGTAATTTTGTTCAATTCTTTTAATATATTATATAATCCTCCTGAAAAAATGATTTCCTAGAAGAAGTCTTTTGAAATAACTTTCGTTTTCAAATCGTTAATTGAAATAGATTAAAAAAACAATATCGCTTTGAAATTTCCTTATTCAATATAAGGCATAAATTGCAGTTTAAAATTAGCAGAAAGACATTTTGTAATTAATTAGTAATTATCAACTTTAAAAATTCAAAACTTGTTTTTGCGACAAATAAAGCTGTAAGCAATATGTTAATATTTCGAAGTCGAAGTAAGTTTGGCATTAGCCTGATGAAAAATTAATTTCCTTAAATAAATTTGCTTCATTACATATTTCCAAAGATATACAGTTTAAAATTAGTAGAAAAACTTTGTTATTAATTTTGTTATTAATTAGTAATTATCAACTTTAAAAATTGTAACTATAAAAAGCTTTATCACAATTCCATCTGATATTCACGTACAGAACGAATTGCTAAGATTTATTAGTATCAGATGGAATTGTGATAAAGCTAAAAATGAGAAAATGTTCATTGAAATCGAACTTAACTTAGTCTATCTTTATCATAATATTTGATATGTTATTATTTTGATTAAAAAAGAAACTTGAATATTTCCAACCTAAAATTGAAAATCTTAAAACAAGTAAAATAAATATCTATTAACCTATTTCACCTGTTTCTTGATTGAGCTATTTTAGTTAACTTCAAATTTTCAGGCTATTCTCTATTTTCATTTCTAATTTTCTACGTTTATTATGTTTGCTCCATTTGATAATTTTTTTAAGTATTTAAACTTTTTTCAACCTCAAATTTAGAACTAATAGACTGAGCGGTTGTAATCAAGCATAACAATTAACATTAATTGTCACTTATATGTCTTCAAATTTTATTTATATCATTTTTATTGTCTTAATTGCTTGGTAAGATTGGTAGTAATTCAATGATTCAACTGATATATGAAAATGATAGGAATGTCTATAAAAACGTATACAATTGCTTTTGATGAAATTATCGGGATGAAATCTAAAAAGTTGTGATTTGATGGATAGAAGTAGCATTTGAAACAATTAATATTAAATGAGGTGCCCGCGGGTCGGTATGGATTTGGAGCAATGATAGTCAATGGAAAAGACATCATTTCACTTCAGCAATTAAAATTTTTGAAGATGGATATATTCCTCGACTAAATGGTTTATTATAAATTTTCTCTTAATTTTCCATCTTTCCATTCGTTAACAATTTCATAGTTTGCATTCAGATGAGCTCTTTGATTATTTTAGAAACAATCGTAGTATAATTTTCATTACTTAAATAATTCCTCCAACGATCTGTTTCATTCTTCTGATCTTCCTTTTTTGTAACTAAATTTAAAAAAAATTGATTTATAATGAAACAATAAATTATGAAGATAAAACTAAATTTAAGAATAGATTTAATTGTGGTTGTAAACAATGCTTATGTTTGTGATTGTCCATAAATGGTATCAATAATTTTAATTATTTTTTAAAGTTTTAATGATTTTACATCATAAAGATTATTTCTCATCACTCAATAATGTTATATGAATTTGTTTTCTTTTGCCAAAAATTCATGAAAGGACAATTTAAAGAATTCAATTAGAAATTTTCAAATTGTAAGAAAAATTTCTTTTTAAAAGAAGACCTGAAATACATGTGAATGTAATGAAGAGCTCATTTTTTAAATTTTAATCAGTCGAAGAACAAATGAGATGCCATTGTTTTGATTTATTAACAAAGAAGAATTGTGATAATGATAATGATTGTTTATTGCGATAATGATAATGATAATGATTATAGTTGGGGGAAAAAAAAATGTAGGTAATTGGGTCAGTGCTTTTGCGGCGCACGTGGATAAACGCCCCAAATAAATGAACAGCAATTTATTTGACAATTTTTTTTTCGTTGAAATTTATACTAAATTTAATTAAGCCACTCTCTTGCAATATTTCTTGAAAACTATAATTTTATAAGTTTATCAATTAAAATGTTTACTTGTGAAATTAGCAGTTTTATGAATCACTGATAACTTGAACAATTGAATTTTTCATATTGAAAGATATTTCTGTCCGAATAACGCTACCGGCATGCACAAATGATTTTATACATTTTGAGAGAATTTTATGGATGTAACATTTCTGTTGAATAGTGAAGATATCAAATGATTAAGGGTTAGAGCGATTACATTGAAGCATATAGTATCTGTAATATTCTTTTCCCTCTTTTTACATCAAATAAGATTCTTTCATGGAAGGAATCATTTAATGTAATCAGGCAGCCTTCTGAATTCTCATTTACTTTTTGATTTATAGTTCAATTATTTTGCATTGGTATTATGAGAAATGAAGTTCAACGGTATCGAAAGTAATTTGCGTGATGAGCAGGCCCAAATGCGTCGTGTTGCATTTTTTGCAATTGTTATTTCGACTGCTGCAGTGATTGCTTCCATTGTTACCCTTCCAATGTTATACAGTTTTGTTCAGTCTTTTCAATCTCATCTTATTGCTGAAGCTGATTTCTGCAAGGTTAGAATTTGATATATTTTGATATCAATTTAAAACTGATATATTAAATAAGACGGTAAAAATTTCTATGTGAGAATTAGCAGTCCGGATCACGGTGCCGAAATTTTAACCAACACAATCCAAATTTAAGTATGACTTTTTTATGAATTCAAAGTTTCATATCTAGCAAATCTGCACAACACACGTCAGACCATTGATCATTTATATAGCATTACGATTAGATCATTGATATTTATAATTGCCAAAAATTAATTTGAGTAGTCACTTTCCACACCTTAAAAAGAAATTTTTTGTTTTGTGCAGGGATTTCATTTTACGTTTATGATATTTAGTAAAATAAATTTCAGTCCCGGTCTCGGGATATGTGGCAGGAAATGAACTTAATTGATAAGAGTTATCGGGTCAAACGAAAAGCAGGCACCTGGATGTTTGGTCAATTCATACCACGTGCATCTGGTGCCAAAAATTATGATTTGGGAAGTGCCGATTATGGTAATGAAATTCCTACACCATATGGTGGCCGAGCAGGAGATGGATCTAATGACGGAGATCGTTATGGAGATTCTAACAGTGGCAATACTTATGGAAGTGGAGGTAATCAATATGGTAGCAATACTGCAAGTGATAGCGATTACGGTAAGTCAGATGTACCATCCGGTTATGGTCCAGGTCCGATAATTAATGCAGAACCAAAAGTTGGAAGTTTCTGCTGTCCATGTCAGCAGGGCCCTGTGGGACCACTAGGACCACCTGGTGATCCTGGACCTGATGGAAATGATGGTGAACCAGGCAAGGATGGCGATAATGGAAAAAATGGACAGGTATTTTTTAAATTTGATTCTAATAATTCTAATGGGTTTTATTCAGACTAAATTGAATTTTAACATTGTATTAATATTAATAAGTCTTTTTCTAGTAATGATAACTTGTGATCTTAATATATTGTTAAGATTTGATATATATATCTCTGTATTTCAATAGTCACCAAGCAGTCCATAATAAAATTCACCACATAATTCAGAAATAAAAGTCAAATTTATTGATTAATTGGAAGTGTAAAATGCTTTTTAATATCCAATAATTGAATGGCTATTATGCGCTAATTATTCGAATAGGAATTCTTTATTTTCATTGATTTGAAAGTTTACTGCTAAAAATAATTCCTTAGCAATCTCACTTTTAAGATGCTGCAAGAAGCAATTGAAATCGACGAGTTATGCATTATTTGTCCACCTGGACCACCCGGTTTAGCTGGTCAGGCTGGCCCAAAAGGACCACAAGGACCGAAGGGTGCTGATGGTGCAAAAGGTGAAGATGGTAAAAGCGGAGAACCTGGCATGATTGGTGCACCGGGACCAGTTGGACCACCCGGAAAGGAAGGATTGCCTGGACCTACTGGTCAACCCGGACGTCTTATTTCAATTGATGGACCTCCTGGACCAATGGGACTACCTGGTGATTTTTAAAATCTTCGATGATTATAATTTCAACACAGATACGCTTGATTTCATTATCATTGATTTTTCTTATTTACACCAATAATTTTTTAGGAGCACCCGGATTACCTGGTCCAAAAGGACTCCCAGGACCGGATGGAGCTACCGAAGATGGTCCTGAAGGACCACCAGGAAATGAAGGTGCACCAGGACCACAGGGAGAGAGAGGTCTAGAAGGACAACCAGGATTACCAGGAGAACGAGGAGAAGCTGGTTCATGTGAACATTGTCCCGAACCGCGTACACCACCAGGCTACTGAACTGACCTAATATAATCTCTTGTTGAAGCTCATATTTTTATCGTTACTCAAATACTCTTTGTTAACTTGCTACAGGGAAATCTTTCCATTTTGTTTGAATAATTCATTTTAGTAAGTTCTCGGCAAAATTATATTTCTTAGGCCATTTTATTGGCATAATCATTATCATGATTTTATGATCGTTTATTTAAATTGACATCATAATACTATATTTAAAATACGAGGTAGTTGCAGTAGACTTTATCTGCCTTCAACGAAAATTTCTTCTATTTTAATTGGAATCTGACGGAAACTCTCAAAATGAACTCTTTTACTTCTACTCTCCTTTTAATGACTTTAAATTACTGTATTTAAACAAATAATGATTAAGGCTTTCTCATAAACGATGAACTAATTTATGTCGAATACTGTAATAAAAATGATTTCAAAAATTTAGAGTTATTCAAATAATACAGGTTGATGATATATAGAATATTGTCTGATCGAAACTCAAAGAACAATAAATAATTATCACAAAAATCGATCGTTCATTATTATATGCGATCGATCATTTTTTGCTCATAAAACTACTTGAACTGTTTTCTTATTCTTAAATTGTTGTCATTTCTCTTCCAAAATTATTTCACTCTTAAAAATTTCATTTAAAAAAAAATGGGTTGTTTTAATTCTATGACTAAAATTTGTTCTGTCACTATTGCTAGAAATTGAAATATCGTAAGAGACAGAGTGGTTTCATTTTAAATTTGGGTCATTTAAATAAGCTTAGTTTCTGATGGAAAGATTTTGTTGACCCATTTAAATCAACCATTAGTTCTATTGTCACATTCATTGATTATTGTGCATGCATTCGTTGACATTTAATATCACAAAAAAATCTTAACAAATTGCAATACAAAATTTGTTCGCAAGTTTTATTGCATTTTGTTTTTAATTACAATTCACCGGGCCGTTATGTTCACGGGATTCTCTGAATCATCCATCTATATATATATCAAACATTCATCATATACCTGTAATAACTCACTGGCCATTAAGTTATTTTACCAACACATAACTTCGAATGAATCCCGTTACTTTTTGTTAATATATTTGTATTTATACTAAAATTTCGGAAAATTTAAGACTTCGGGAAATTCGGGAGATAAAACTTCGGGAGATAAAATTTCTGATAATTCAAATTCATTTAAATTTTGCGAATCTATGCAACGATTGTTTTAATATTCATGAATTTAAAGATTCCTAATAAGATTTTTGATGGCTTCAATTTCCAGAAGTTTTTGAATTTATGACAATCATCCTACTATAATATTTTCATTTCTTTTATATTTAATAAACCAATAACCAGAAATTATGGATTGATATTGGTATTGAAAAAAGAGAGAAAATAACAAATCAGTCCGCTGAATCATTTTTCACTGGTATTTCTTCAGAAGGAAAGTTGCTTTCAGTGAATAGTTACAGAAATCAATGATTAAAACAAGCAGATCTAAAAAATAAAAATCACTAATATATACTGTGAAATTCGAACAGTAAAAAAAGACATACAACTTCCAAGAAATTCAAATTTTGTTATATTTTCTCGCGAAAGAAATGACAAACAAGTAAGTTGTGAATGCTTCATATACCGCCAAATGAAGAATACCCCTGCGATTTTCCATGAACAGTATATCGGAGGCAATGTGTTCCAGATTTATCTTATAGAAATAAGTACGTTTTTCAACCGTGGATACAAAGGTATATTAAGGTAAATGAGAAGCTGAGAGAACAAGCAATTAAAAAATAGAAATTGACCGCCTTTTTTTTAACTAATTTTAAATTTAATTTTTCTATTCCTTGTTTGTTCCAATACTTCTTGCAGCAAAACTTATTTATATGTAAAAAGTTTATTTATGGAATTGCTGAGAGACAAAAATTCATCGCATTGTCATTTTAAGAGAGAGAAAGAGAGAAATATGAAAAATTGGAAGTGTAGAAATTATTTGACGTGATTTGTTAGTTATTGCAAAACTGCAAAAGTTAGGAAAATGAGATTCAAATAATTCTCCACGATACTGTCATTTCTTCCTCACTGTTTCTTCTGTTTCTTCCTTTTACTACTACTTTTCTTTTTCCTTTTTTTCGAACCACTTTTACTTCCTTCTATTCCTTGTGTATCCGTTCCGGCTGGTGAAGGCATTGGGAACTGTAACATTTTCATTTTTTACTGTCTTAAATAATTAAAGTTGTTGTTTTTGATTTTAAATATAAAATGTCAGTTTTCTAGAAACAATATGACATGCAAATAGTTGGTACATTCGGTTTGTGTTGCCATCTATGTAACATAAAAGAAGAATAGAGATTATACGGCAAAATGGTAAGGATATCAACAGAAAAGTGTTATCATGAATCTCATATCTCATATATTTTGTTCCTAAATGTAAAAACTTCTCATCAAAAATTTTGAAAATTTCAAGACATTGCTCTAAAAATAAGAAAGAAAATAAGATAGAAATGGAAAATAGAAAGTGTAAAAAACAAAAGAATAATATTAAAGCACTTGCATTAGCCTCTTGCGTTGGATCCATTGGTTTTGCAGTGACGGCTATATCATCCTAAACATTTCCTTTTATTATAACTTCAATATTTCAGTGAATTAAATTCGATAATAGCTGCCAAGGAATGTAAAAGTTCAGAACGATATTCGTACCACAGAACAGCGAAGAAATTCAGGGAAATATAAAATACTTACATGTTTTTCAGCTGCCACTGCGGCACCGGTAGTATCGGCAGCACCATTCATTACAGTGCTGGTAGTACCGGCAGCACCGGTAGCACCGGTAGTACTCTTTTTCTAAAAAAGAAGGCACCACTATTTTCCACCACCATTTCCATAGCAGCATAGCAATGAATTTCTTTTTTTTCGATGAATGAAGCAATGCTGGTGGAATTTATAACATTAAGAGAAAACTGATAAGCAATTAATTAAATTTTTCTAATTAAGGATGAACTATCCGATCTAAGATTAAATGATTTATCGTTTATCATTTATCGCTCGCAACAAACCTTCACAACAAAGTAGCCTACAGCACCGATAATGCACATAATTAGCAATAGGAAAAAGAACGACATTTTCGTCTTACTATGACTGCTCACCAGTTAGTACATGTAATACAATGAATAAAATTATAGCTAAGTATTCCTTTCATAGCAATTTATTTCCATCAAATTAGCATATCTGTAGAACAGAATTAAACAACTAAAGAAAACTATAAGAGTAAGCTGAGAGAAAGAAATCTAAAATCTAAAAAGAAAACCATAGACCTAAAATTTTGGAAATAATGTCTCTAGCAATTTCCAAGCAATCTCAGTACTTCCTTACAGGATGTAGGATTCAAGTTTTCATGGTGGAAGTAGTTGAATTAGAGTTTCTTCTGCGAAGAACTGCAAGATGCAGGTGAGGTGTATGATTAGTAGTCTTTGTTTTACGGTTTATCGTTTACCGGTGGTAGAAGTGCAATTTTTTTTCAGGGATTAATTCACTGCACTCTGTAATTACATTTGATACTGTTTCAGTTTATTGATGCCAACCTTATCGCGATAGTGTAGTTAGCTGTATACTGTGCTTTTAAAATCTTAGCATTTCCTATATACTTCTGAACACATACTCGCATACAACTGAATTTACCGGAAATGCCTGAATGCTGGTGCACATCATGCTCAGCAAGAACCGCAATTGGTTTAATAGTTTAAACATTACTAAAGTAAGTGAGATTGCTTAATAGTTGCTAATTACAAAGGTGTTCCTTTTTTTTGCAAATGTGAAGGACAGACGAGATAATTAAAAATTCACATTCTGTATTAGCTGCACCACTCCGTTGATGTCATGCTCATATTCATGGAGATTAAAGAATTTGATCTTTGGCAGAAATTTTTTGGAAAGTTTTATGAAAATTAATTTGATTGCAATTATGAAGAAATGTGATCCATCACAGATGAGCATAGCATCATGAACATTGTTGAATTCTTGAAATATTTTATAACCAATCACGTTACTTGAAAATCCATGATTCCCTGATTGACAATTGTTCAACTTCGATTCTTCGTATGTACTAGCGCATAATAATACCATTCATTCAAAATAGCAGCACATATCTGCCATGCAGATTTTATCGCGTTTTAATTTATAGTAGTCACAGGAAATGAATTCGATTGTCGAAAATTTGAGAAGGCTTAAGGAGCTAACTTTCCGTGGTCAACAGTTTACGATGCAAATTAGTGACCGATCTAAAGCATCTTAAAAAAAATGTTAACTAATATTTATTAATTTCCTCTGTACATGTCCATAAACTTACAAGCAGTAAAATAGAAGAGGAAGGTTTCACGAGTAAATGATCTAATTTTTATTTGAGCTGAAAATCATCTTATCTGCAGTAGATTTGCCACCGTTCTCTGTTTTGCTTTATTATTTTAATAAGGCTCCGTAATATGATCTTTTCTTAAAGGGAGTCGACGAACAGATCGAATTATGGCGAAGATAGCATTGAGTATTTCATAAGTCGTCACATTGGACTTGATTTGAATTAGCGCGAGATGTGATGACTTAGGGCAACTTTTATGTTGGGATTCTGGTTTATGAAAGAAATGTACCAACATATGCTTGTTTCTTGATGCCCATAGTTTCATAAATTTGATATGTCATCCATTTTTTTCACCAGAAACTGCCATTTAAATGTAAACAATATTTCCAAATTATTTTTCTTTTCAGCTAAATCAAATTTGGGATTTGTCTTAGGTAAAACTGCGGATATAACTATTCAATTTTTATTTACCTTCCTTGATAAATTTTACATGTTTTCATTGCTTAGCTTTTAGCAACTTCATTGTTATGATGCCATCATTATCTTATTTACTTCAAACTCACTTTGCGTTTTATGTTGTGGACTTAATCTTATTTTGAAGTTTATATTATGGATTGATTTTAGAATAATGTCGATGAATGAAGAAGGAGGATATCTAGGTGCGATGACATATCAGTGCTTGTATAGTGGCGTATTGGATCGTATTGTCCAAAATCGTCGGAATGACGATACTGCTGTTTATATGATTCAAGTAAGGCATTATATGAAAAGATTCCGTTCTATTATTTTCCTTCTACTTCTTTTTTTCCATATTTATATTTAATTTTTAAAACTTCCCAAGTTTTATAAATTCAGCGGTTGCGGAGCACTTTGAGACAGGCTGATATTTCTTCACCGTCCTTTCTTTTCGATTTCACGAAAGTTTTGCTGATGGACTCAGAATTAAATGTTAACCTTCAGGTAGTGCTTTTTCTTTTCTCTCCTTCTCCATGTTCACTCGGAAGAATTATCAAAATCATTTGATCGTATAGTGAGTACTTCTTTCGAGATAATAGTCTCTCATGTGCCTTTTAAGAAAGGAAATACTGTTCAGCCTTCAAATCGTTTTAATAATCTCATCGTTTAGTTTTTTACATCGAATAAATTTGCGCAAGCTGATCTTGTGGTCTAGTCGACCGTCGCAAATACATTCATGTAAAAACGCTTTAAATTAGTGGGATTAGCTATCTCAAATCTTGCATTTCATGATTCACGAGTTTTATGACATAGGTAACAGAGCCGCTGCTCTGAGAAGAATGATTTTTAAAATAAATGAACTTTTTTTAAATGTATCAGTGCTAATTCATTTCAATAAATTTCTTTTTTCATGATAGTTACTTTACGAATAATGTTTCAAATTATCTTGTTTTTGTTGCAGGAAGCTTTCTTGCGAAGACAGGCAACTGCACCAACTGACGATTTAGAGTTACCAAATCTACGTCAAAGAGAATATCAGGAATTGTCATCGAGGTTGGACTCTATTCACAAATTCTAATTTCATAAAATAAATACGAAATAATTATAAATTATATTGCATAATTTCTTTCTAGGGCAATTGCTCTACGACGAGTTTTGGCTCGTGTACCTGAAGAGATGTCTGATCGACGGACTTTTCTGGAAACAATAAAGGAGATTGCTTCATCTATTAAAAAACTTTTAGATGCTACAAATGCAGTAATGCAGGTTATTCACCCAAGCGTTCAACTTTGTAAGTAATTTTTGCAATAAATTTGCTTCACGAAACTTAGCATATGATTTTCCTTGATGACAAAATGTTTATATTTTTCTGCTAATATTCGTGAGAAAATTTCATAGCATTTTTCAGCGGTCGAGAAGCGGAAGCGGGAATTTGTTCATTATTCAAAACGCTTCAGCAACACATTAAAGGAGTACTTCAAAGATCAAAACGCAACTCAGGTATTCCCCTGCCATTGTTATTTGCTTTATTGGCAGTAATCAATGAGTAAACGTTCATTCGGATTTTTATCCTATTAAAAATAGAAGCATAAACTTTTCCTTTCTTATTTCTTCATCTGTAATTTGCAGGTTTCGACTTCGGCTAACCAGCTGATTTTCCAAACAGTTTTGTTGATTAGGACTATACGGGAGAAAATGCGGAAGGTAAATGATGAGAATAATTTGTTTGATAAAAAACTTCAGCAGTATCACATGATTTACAGGCTCTGAGGCAGAATATAGTGTCTTAAATATTAGATTACTTCATAGTATATAACTAGTGAAATAATTATTCACAAACTGTGTAACTAATATAGAAATGCCAGCTTTTATATGTGAATTGCCTGTGCGAACAGTATCAAATTCTATAGCGTTTTTGTAAGAAGAATGTGAGAGAGCTTTATAAACTGTCTAAGTTGAGGATTTTGTTTCCATATTAAGAGAATTTAACATTTTGTTATAATTTCGTAATATAGCTTATACGTATTTGGATAGGATTTCCATTCTCAATGTAGTTTCACCAAAATTTAAATGGTAACTTAAATAGTAGTGCTTTCAGAGTAATAAATTTTGTTGTTAACATGAAGTATTTACCTTGTCTTTGTTATTTGATTTTATTGAAACCTTATAGTCATTTCTCTTCCCGAAAGATTGATTCATAGGCAGTATTACTTCTTTAACTTCTGTAAGATTTTGCTAGTTCGATTTTAGATTCACGGAGAATATTTTCAGGTTGGCGCTTGAAACGACTTTATCCTTTACATTTCCTTCAGAATATACTGCCAGCTTTCGTCAATTCATTTTATAAATAAATTGCAAATATATTTTGCATCTTTTTCCTTCAACATAGCTTGTGATACTAATCATTTTTGAAAATTCCTCGATCGTCTAATTAATCAACAAAGATTCATGCGGTTGTTTATTTTCTTGTGTGCCTATTATAACGTGTCAATTTGAAAACATCAAGTCGCGAATAATTTACTGATATATTTTATCGAACTATTTACTAAATCTTTGCAGTCTTTAAGTAATAAAAAGTCGTTTTTTATTCAGAATTCGTTGCTTGATGGGAGCAGCTCAATAAAACTACATATATTAATCGGGCAATTCTATTATTAGATTGCAAAGTTGAATATTTTCCATCCAAATTTTAATTAATTAACTTAATCATTTTCAATGATATGGTTGTTTATAAGTTTAAATTCACTTCTCACAAGCAGCAGAAGTGTTTTTTTATTTACTGTCAAAAATTCTTATCTTACCTCATTGCAGAAGTACGGTTGTTTTTGGCCTTTTGTGTTTTTCTTCCTTTTGATCAAATTGTATTATTTCTTCTGTTTCTCCTGTCGTGCAAATGACGATAAACATTATACATTCGACCATTCTACACAAAATAGGCTATCCAACAGTTTTTCAAGTCATAAAAAGACCACTAGAAAATTGTTGTAAGGCCAATTATTCGGTTCAAAATGCATAAGTACGAGGAAAAGTGATTGTTTTCATCATTTTGTTAGTGTGGTTTTTATGAGCAGGTTACTTGAGACATCTCTAAGTCACCTTAAAACAAATCCAGAGGTGAGATGTCGATATGTGATAGTTAAGTGGGTTATCTTTTTGGACTGAATTAGAATGAATGCTGGCTGTTATTTTTATTCAAATTCAGGTATCTTCTCAAAAAAGTCCAACAAGTATCGAAGTGAATAATCAATTGTTAAGCAGTGGATATAAATGTGGCGAAATAATTGGTGAATTCCATGCATACAAATATGATGATAACCTGAAATAATTCCTTGTTGGTGTAATGATTTTATAGAGTGATAAGGACTTTTAACTTCATACCGGAGCATACTGTAAATACAGATATTTAGAATAAAATTTTTGATAAACTTTGCTCAACTTCTCGAAGCATTCTTTGTGTTTAATTTATTTCTAAGATTTGAAATTAAAGTTTTATAAAATATATATTCTATAAAAGTATATACATATATAATTTCATCATAAAATTTCTCAAAAGCTATTGTTAGTATATATTATAATAACTTCAATAAGTAGTATTTTCATGATGTCTTAATAAATACAAGATATTCTAATATTAGATATTAATATTAATACATGATATTCTAATATGAATATTCTAATATTAGCAAAATATTTTTGTGAAAATAATGAAAGTTTTCGATCAGGAAAAGGAACATATTCTAAGGTTCAGCTGGCTTCATCGAAAAAACATTCTAAAAATGTCGCAATTAAAATTATCAATAGACGGTTAGTTACATTGGTATATATTAGCAAAATTATATGCTAAAAACATAAAACAATTCTAGAATCCCCCTTTATATTCTTTCAAATTTCTTATGCTATTTGATACATGTAAATTAATATCAAAATAAATATGAAGTATGTTTAACAACATAGTTAACGAAATTTTGATGATGAAATTTTTGCAGCAACAACTTTTTGAAGCAAGCAACAACTTAACTTATTCTTAATTAATTTAATCTATTGATTTAAGAAATTAAGACACAACAATGATATGACAGATTTTGCGAGGATTAATAGATTTAAAATTATCTACAAATTATTAAGAAATTATTTCGGTTCCTTATGCATTTAGTTCACAAACCGATTTCATAATTCGCTTTCTTCCACGTGAATTACAAATTTTACCAATACTCAGTCATTCAAACATTATTGAAACTTATGAGGTTTATTCTTTAAGTTTCTTCTTTTTTAAATTACAAAATAATATTTATAAGTAAACAAATTTATAAAGTAAATATTTATAAGTAAACAATATTTATAAATAAACATTTACGTTCTATATAAGCATACTTTTGAAATATTTCTGAAGCTATCAAAATTTATAATATAAAAATTTTAGAAAAGCATACTAAAAATATGTTTGTATCAAAAATTGTAATTTTGCTAACTTTCAGGTAATCGATTGTGGTTCAACAGTTTTCATCATTCAAGAGTATGCTGGTGGCAGAGATTTGTTATATCAAATTAAAAAAAAGGAACGACTCAGTGAAAATATATCCAAATTTCTCTTTCGACAACTACTTGAGGCACTTATGGTTCAAAATTTTTAATCAGAAAATTTTGACCTACACTAACTGCTAACATTTTTTTTAAATATACTTATCAAATTAATTTATTTACAAAAATTTATCATTTGTCCGGAATATTTAGTCTTATGTGTGTATTTGTTTTTCCTTCCATAAAATCTGTTCCAACAATTCATTCCATTTAAATAACGATATTTGAAGTGAAAGATTAAAAGTACAATGTTTATAAAATTACAATTTAAAATTTAAAATTTAAAAAAAAAATAATGAGAAGAAACCGGAAGCCAAATAATCTAACTCGTTGAACAAAAAATTTGACAATATTTTGTTAAATAAGTTATTTATCATTTATCATATTTGATGTAAATGATGAAATTTAGTATTTGAAAACGCTTGAAATAGCACATCGTGATCTAAAATGTGAAAATATATTCTTGGATATCTGTGGGAATATTAAACTTGGCGATTTTGGATTCTCAAGATTAATGCACAGTAATGATATATCACATACTTTTTGTGGTTCAAGAGCTTATGTACCACCAGAAGTGCTTAGGTATTTCTTCGAGCATATTTATCATCATTAATATAATATTAGTATTGAATGAAAGTAATCAAATTTGATTATTTTCGAGATCGCAACCTTACACGGGTTTCTTTGTTGATCTATGGAGTGCAGGAGTCGTATTATTTGTGATGGTTACCGGTTTAATGCCATATGATGATCAAAATCCACGAAGAATGCTCTCAAAGCAATTGCAGCATAGGTATCTTTTATCATATTTTTGCAATTAAAAATTGTAACTGAATAGCTGTAAAGTTTCTACTGATTTATGAACATTACTTCGTTATCTACAGACAATAGATTTCTCTAATCTGCAAGTGGACATTTGGGATGTATTTCCTGATATACTCCTGATTTCCTGATACGTTTGAATAAGTAATTTAATATAGCCTAGATTATTCTTTATTATATGGTATTATTGAACTTTTTCATATTTCACTAGGAATATTATTTTCCATATTGTTGATCGATGGAATGTGAGATGGGATAACTAAATTAAATTAATGATTCAAACAATTTGTATTTTTCAGATTAACATTCCCTCGTAAAATATTGCTAAGCGAAGAAGTAAAAACTTTAATTTACGAAATATTACATCCAATACCATCTCAGCGTAAGCAATACTCGGATATTCTGATATCAACTTGGCTTGCGGATACTCCGTATAAATTTCGAACAACAAACAATTGTAACAAAGATGATATACTAGAGTGTCTATAAAAATATTCAATTTTATTCAACTTTTCACATATGGCAAACTTTTTTAAATCAACCTTTTAAATTAGCTAACAATGGCTTGCTTGGCTTTATACCTAAATAATATGGAACTGTACTATGTAAAAATCAAACAAATTTTTATATATTTTAATTGATCTTACTTGTCCAAGTCTTGCTTATCACAAAATTCATATTGCTATCGTCATTTTCATTTCCATACTCTCAGTTCTGAAAAACATTTATTTGTTCTATTTTCTCAAGTAATTTTTAATTTTCTCTATCAAATTGAAATTTCTTAATTGAAAGTAATAAATGTGTGTTATGAATTCAGGTAAAAATTAGTAGATAGATATATTTTCATTACTGATCAGTGAAAAAGTATGCTCTTTCATCTCTTAACTCATAATTCCAACCACTAAAGCTGTCGGAAACTCGAAATAATCTTATAATATAAAATTACTTCTATTACTAAAGCATTCTACTATTGTAATTTATGTTAATGAAATTATTTCAGTCAGGAAAAGAAGATATTTTTAGGTCACTCATTTGATATACGGTAGTTAAAAGCTGAACATTTTTATTCAATCTGAAAGATAATAATTTTGCAAACATTTGCTGATTACACTTGATATAAGTAGTACCTTCAACAAGGTCATGGTGATAAAATCTTAGTTGGCTCATTTTTTTTTTCACTATTTCGACTTTGTTGAATTGGTAAATGTGTTTCATTTTCCGCTTCAAAGTATCAGAATCCATGGTATGGTTTGCAGTATGGTTTGCATCAAGAAATATCATCGTTATCTACGAAATTTCAAATTTAAATTTTAATTTATAAAAGAAATTTAGAAATATTACTGCCTACTTATTTTTTCTTCTTTTATCATTCACTTTTTCAATACTTTTCAATGTATAAAAATAGACAGAAATAGATAGAGAGAGTCATACCTCCTATAATCGCAAAAGAAAATTCTAATTTTAAATTTGAAAAAATTCATATCACATATAATCATCATTAATATTGTGTCTTTACCCATACTTAAGAGAATTTACGAACTGATAAGATTTAAATTAATTGGTGAAAAGAGAGTATGAGGGAGAAGAGAAAGGAAATGCAAAGGAAAAAACTTATATTCATTTCAGGAACCGCTAAATCTATAATTTGACTTTCATCATTCGGATTTCTAACCAAATTATGACACATTGAATTCTCTACTGAAAAATATCGTTGATTCTGAAGCGATGTTTTTACAGTAACTACTTTAGTGAATATATCTTTTAAGTTTCAGTTATCATCATCAAGCAATTGCTATCAATAATTTGATAAAAAATTTGCTTGCGAATCAAATTGAATATGGTATTTATGTAATTAGAATTAATCAAATAATGGATAGCCCTCGATGATAACTATGTTATTGTTCAATGTCCTCACTACAATATTCAATTTGATTCGTAAGCAAATTTGTAATGAGAATATTGGACAATAACATAGTTATCATCGAGGATTATCCATTAGTATTTTCATGATACACTTAAGTATTTACGCCTAAAATATTCCAGTACCCATTCTTAGCTTTTTTTATCCTCACAATTCCAGAAAACACAGCAGAATAAAGTCATAATTAAATATGATTTAGTTGACCTTTACAGATCACACTTATTTATTTACGTAGTGCAGGTTATACTTGTCCTCTGTTGTCCTTTCTGCCCAATGCCATATTTCATGCTAAGAACGTAAAAATGAAACAAACATAGCTTTCTGGTTTTATTAGTTTAATCGTAAATGTGATGAATGACTTTCCGCAGCTCCACTAGAAATTGTTCTGGAAACTAAAATCTTTTTTGAGGTGTTATTTTCAATTGAACGGTATGAAAATCATATGAACTTTTGAATGAGAAAAAATTACGGCATATACTACGAAACCCACATATGATATCTTTGGTACAACAGATGAAATACACAATGCAACAAAAATCATAGAACATATGATCACTATAACTTTCTACGTCATTTTTCATTTTGATACAATTATCTAATGTCTTCCATCAAGTGCATCCAAATATTTATAGTCAATTAATCGTGGTATCAACAAATGTCTGCAATGATCAACATTGATGATATCGTTATCTATTTCATATGCCAAGCATCATACACAAGTATAAGAAAAACTTGTATGTGTTGAGTATGTCAATCAAAGAGAAGATTAAAGTGATTGGCTTACCTGATGGGTAAGAAGAAGAAACAGACAATCGGAAAAACCATTTCAATGAATGGATAGGGTGAAAATCCGAATGCGCAAAGTAACAAAAGCTGTGCAAGCTGACAGGCAGTAAATAAATGTACTTTTCGCTGAGGAACTTTCCTGATGTAATGAGTGGGTGGATAGGCTTGCTGAAAAGCTTTTTCTTTTAGTTCAACAATATTTTGTAATAATTTTCTTCATAAAAACCAAAAATAAAAAATTCTGAGACATAATTTATGCATATGTCAATAACATGAAATTTGTTGATATAACAGAATTTTTTAAGGTTTCCAAAATTTCAAATTAATCTCATTCCCTTTTGTAACAACAAATTTCAGCAATCGATAGCATTCAATCATCTCAGAAGGATAAATTTTGTTATAAGTGAAATTTGAATGAAATATCTACCTGTTCAGTAATAAGTAATAATAATCGTTCGAACATTTCATTACCAGCCAAAGAGGTAAGTGCCATGTACAAGAATAAACCATGTAATACGGATGTTGGTATCCATTGAAGAGGGTATGGTAAGAGTGTAAACGTTGAGATTAATATCAATAAATGTGCTATTAATGTAGCTAGCCGTGTCTCGCGCACATTCATTATTCTGAAATAAATTTTTTTCTAATTTTTGAAAATGGTTTTAAAAAAATTGAATTTTAAAAGTGATTTGAAAGTTCAGAAAGTCCTTATTCTATGACGAATTTCATTTTTGAAGTAATTCGAAATTGTAACAATTCATCGTTCAATCCGATGATATCATTGGACAGGTATGGCCATTCAAGAGTATCTTAGAACACCTATCAATACTTAAACAATTCACCGTTGTGCGCGCACTGTTAACTGCTCTTATCTAAACGATAAGCTTCGGAAATACTTTTAAACTTGCTTTAATAATGCTAATCACTGTTGATCATGCATTATAATGATAAGCTTTTCAAGCCAGATATTTTTGAAGATCAATCTAACATCAGAGGGAAATAGCTTAATTAAGCGTACACTTCATGAACATGTCCTTGCAGCACTCGTTCTTCCACATCAGCAAGTGCGCGCAAATGCAATGGTGAATGCGGTAATGCACCATGCATCCATGGTAAACCCATTACTGACAAGAAACAATTCAGTATCGCAACTACAAACAAATCCAGATTTTGTGCTGAACCTTTCTTTAGTCTGAAATAAAATAATAAAAATTTTGATCAGGATTATGTCAATGATGCGAAGATCATTCTAAAATGATTTTAAAATCTGTATTTCAACTGAAATCAATAATAGAAGAATAATAATAATAATTCATTTCTATATTATATGATAGTTTTAGTTCGTTGAACATTAAGCTTCCAACGGAATTATAAACAGTACAATAGCTAAAGAAGTAGTCGTTATATCGACTAAACCATATCTTATAGCATTCATGTTTTTTTCGATAAAACTACAATAAATTTCCCAAGAAATGCAATTTAAAATAACAAACGAACTTATTCCGTGGGTTATTTACAATAGCTGAGGTGATATTTTGGTCAATGAAGAAAAGAAAAGATAATGAGAAGCCAAGGAGTAGGCATACGAAATAGCCCTGCCACGGTAACGAAAACACCGGTGCAACAGTGAATATCGATACATTGGTACGCATTTTGAATTTGTCCTCTGAAAATTATTCATCATCCTATTTCATAGAATGAGAAATGCTGAATTCATCAAAACGGCTCATAAAAGTCTGTCAAAGAAAGTGTTGCAAAAAGTCTAAATGAGTGACAAACTAGCATAATATAGATTTGTAAACAAAAAATTACGAGTTTGCAAATTTTTAATCAGCTCTAGCAATAATGGATTTAGTCTTCGAGCAATATGACAAATTCATAATTCAAATTATTTTAAAATCAATTTCAAATCCTTAATGCAAAATAGATGTAATAATATACTGATACTAACTTTCAATATCATAAAAGCAGTAAGCACCCGTAAACGACATGATGAGAACTGAAGCAGGAAGTGCATAATCAGCTAGCCATTCACGACGTGACCGTGTCAAATAAGGCGTCTTCCTGAAGAACTATTCTACTGGAACTTTTGGTGTTAAAGTTAAAAGCCCAAATTAATATTTTAATATATTAGATTACTTGCTTATTAATGTACTTATTGATAACCTTGCAATAATTTTCAGAGATAGATCTCAATCAGATAATCAATTGACTGAAAGCTGTATGAAGTTATTGTTGTAAGAAAGTATAAATAGGACGAGCGAAAATTCAACTTAATACATAAACTTACCTAAAATTGTATAAAAAAAGACCAAGCCACAATGTACCAAACATAAGAAGCATATATAAAATTGAAGTATCTCGATGGCAAAATTCACCATATATCTAAAACAAAAAGACAAGTAATGTATCTCTCGTAAAAATCGAAAAGTTAATATATATTAAAACATTACAAACTGCTTATCAGATGAAGAAGCTTCAATTTTGATAGAATACTTTAACTAACATCTCTTATTTAAGTCTCTTTTAATCCTTCGTATTAAAATATTGAATTATTTTGGAAATCACTACCTGTAATGGTGCACTTGTTTCCACTATATCAACAACGGAGGAGGATGGCGTCGAATTTAAACGGAAGGAAGGCAATACATCGTCGTCAGCATTTTCCTTTTTTCGCACATTGCTAGTATCACAATTGTGGTAATTTTTCTTGAAACCTGAAAATTAATTCTTTCACAATGATTTCTTCATTTTTCGACTTCTTGCCAAAACTTTTTGGATTTCAGAAATTACCAACACTATGAGAATATGAAAACAAAGAAAAAGTAAAATAAACAGAGAATTAAAAAAAAATATCTTCTTTAAAAGATAACAAGCTATAAAAATATGCAGAAATTTTATGCTATTGCTTTTATGCGATAAATTTAGAAGTTCCATCCGTTCTACATTTGTTGAATTTTTGATAACGATATTTTTAAAAGTCATTTTACCATCGGCATTAATAATATCAGTTTTTTTTCATGGTGTGAATCTATTAATAATTGCTTAGTATCTGCTTTATTACTTCCCAGTTGCCATCATTTTCTTGAGGGGTAAATTCTCTTTAAAAATTTTCAGATAACGAGGATTAAATTTCTATCAATAACTTTTCCACGGCTGTAATGGTATTCGATTTTCCCTTGCTTTTCATCATCTTACATGACCCTCCTAATATTTTTTCAATAGCTTCTGCATTTGTTTTTATTACTGGCAAGCTAATGGCATCAATATTATGCTATTGATAAGTTGCTCATATTTTTCCCAGCTTCAAGTTTTATAGAATTTATATTATGCGAAAACCTTTCATTTTGAAATTAATTGCAAGAGACTATGGTACATATATTGATTGTTGGAAAACTAATAAAGATTTGTAGTTTTCACTATAAATCTTTGTTCCAGCCATTGGAACAAATTTGTTGTATTTCATAGCTAAACTTCATTTCATACTTTCGATAACAGTCATATGAATTACTTCGCTTTTACAAATCTTCCTCGATATCATCTTTTATGAAAATTCATAAACTCTCAACTTTCAGTTTAAAAAAATGAAACGAAAAGACATAAGCTGACTTGTATGGAGCGCCCGTATACTTTCCACAGTAAAGGCTATCGCAATAAATAGCGAAAACATTTCTTCAGCAGATCTGAAAAATAATACATGCCAATAATGGCTGAATATAAAGTGTAATCATTTTGGATGAATTTGAAGTGAATTTTATTTCACTTTGAAGAGAATAAGAATTGTAATGATTCTTAAGGAAAAAAATAGTAAAAGCAATAGATAAGGAACAATTTAATTTTTATTTATTAATCAATATAGATTTATCTTATATATATATATTTCAAGTTCAGATTTAATTTTGAATGAAGCAATGAAATTTTTTGAATCGATAAAATGAACCTTGTAGCTAACTTCATTAAACTGCACATATCAGTAGATGCATAAAGGATAAGGAAAAATTGACACCATAATCCAACACAAGCATACATTGCAAAGAAATCATAGCCGAGTTCCTCTGCTATTTTATATATCACTAAAATTTCAATTATATGTTTCAAATTAAAGTTTATTGATAAGCAAAAATTATCATAAAATATTAGAATTAATAATAGTATTAGCTATTTAAAGTGACTAAGCAATAAAATTACTTAGGCACTTAACTTATTCTTATAAGATATGCATTAAACAATTAGTTTAAGTAAATATCTAAAATGATATACCTTTAATATATATTGCTAGTGGTACCGTGGTCAGCAATATAATTATCGGTTGGCCACCAAATATTGCAAAAAATATTCCACCAAGTGCTTGAGCAGTAATTACTTTACGTACATCTGAAAAAGTAATTAATCAAAGTAAAGTACAACATCAAAGATTTGAATGAAGCAATTTTGACATGCATACTTTACATCTTTTTATCAAGTCTGATAACGATAAAGTAATTTGCTGAATATTCATTTGATTAATAAAAAGTATGCCGGAATAAAGTGGCCTATTTTTTAGATAATCTATTTACTTTTTGAGTGTAAATATTAGGAAAAGTTTTGATAAGAAATGATTAAAGAAAATAATTTATTGATCTGATACAAAATATTCCTGTTTCAAAAGGCAGGTAAAATGAAGGAAACTTACTGATACTTCCATTTGTATTATCATCATTCAAAACACCAAAAGCAATTGCTGGTAGAAGACAAGCAAAGTATAGGAATACTATTGAACTGAACAATTTTTGGATTGTTTTCGAGCCACGCAATCCTAGAAGAAATAAATTAAGTTCAATTTTTAATGTAGAAAATAAAAACAAAGTGTGTGTGTGTGTGTGAAATGAAAAATTAACTAACCATCCAGGTAATCAGAAGAGTAGTATTTGATACGCCGAAGGAAATCATTACTGAGTCCACGAAATAGATACCATTTGCCCGGACCAAACTAAAATATAATCATATCATTGATTCCATTTTTTTTCATTTATGTGCTTCATTATTTTTGATCTCCTAGGGATAATTCTCAATTTTTTGCAATACAAATTCCATAGCATAAAATAAGATAAGATAGAATTGATGCCAATGATTGTTCTCTCTTCCTTCTCAGGAAACAATTAAACATCTTTTCATAAATAAAATTGAAATGTACAGTTGCAAATGAAAAGATAAGAGAGATCGATCAAATCATTATCGAATATCAAAAATCAACTTTGATAAATGAAAGGAATAATTTGTATAGACAAAATTAAACTAACCAATTGTTCCTTCGCTTGACTGAAATGAATTGATGTTTTTCTTTCTCTCCACTGATTCTGATCTACTGCCAGTTCTTTCGCTGCTGATAGCAGTGTAGTTCTGACAAAATGTAACAGTATTAAATTATGATTTCGGTTTCAAATTTCATGTGAAAGGATGATGTTTACATTCCATATAAGGCATTTGCAGAAATGAATAATACTTAAAGAGTAAGCAAAGATATTTATTAAGTATTAAAAAAGTATGCAAGAATATTTATTAAGTATTACTTAACATAGAGATATCAAGTAATACATAAATTGGCTTCACATATGGAATTCTATGATCAATTCAATATTCTTTATCAATACTACTATTACATGAATAAATTTTAGCTAATAGAAGTGATTAAAAGGTAAATTAAAATTTTAAATTTGACGTAATAGAAATAAATAAAAAATTTTTAATTTATAAATTTTCGTAGTAATATAGAATTCTAAAATTTGGTTTTATTTGTGTATGGAAGAATTTAATCGTTGTTTATTAAAAATTCTAAATTAATATTTACCTAAATTGATCTACACTTTGTGCCATAACAAGTCGTTGTCTTATATCCATATCAGCAAAAAGTGTCGCAAAAGTTCGCGTCGTTTCAAGTGCTGTTTTGGTGCCTTTCTAAAATAACATACAATTAATTCGGTAATTATGTATAACAATAAATATTTGAAATTATATAAAAAATTACGTGCAAGAAAAAAATATGATATTCAATAAATTTTAGGGAATTCAACATTTTTAGAGATCTGTTCCGTAATTAACTTTTTTTCTAAATACTCTAATGAATTATATCGTTTAGGAAAGAGTGAAAAGTTTTGAATATTCGAAATTTGTTTATCAGAGGATTTGTTCACATTTAATAAAATTAAATTTTAAAGTCTCATTTAAAGTCGTTAATTTTTTGTTATAAAAAATACACGAAAAATCAACTCTGAGTTTTACGTTTATCTTTTATCAAATGTTAAATAATTAAAATAAAAGTTTAAATAAGTAATTATTTTGCTTGCAGATGCTAATATCGAATGATATGATAAGTTTGACAAAAGAAATAAAATGATACCGCTCGTGAAGGAGCAATAACAATGATAATAAACCGCAGGTCTTGCATTGTACGACCTAAATTGGTTGGATGACTGAGCCGAGCAATTGCTACATGCCTATGTTGCACTGTGTTTAACATACACCTGCAAATTTAGAAATATTTAATAAAAAATTAGTTTTAATTATATATTATAGTGTTAAGTAACATATTGCTTTTATGGCTAACTTTGGCATTCAAGATTTCTACAGTATGATAGATTGTCTTTCCTTTCAAAAAAATTAATTGTCATTTTGGAATATAAAAATTGATGTTATCAAATTTCTCAAAACTGTTATATTCTGAAGTACATTTCATGATAATAGAAAGTTTTCTCATTCCATTAATTATTGTCGTTTAATTAATATAAATGAAGGTAAAAATGAGGTTAGCACTGGATCAGACGACATATATTCAGGTATCCAAACAAACAAACAAACAAACAAACAAATAAATCCTTTAAATTATAAGACATCAAATTAATGAATTTCCACTCATTTGCATTATTTCGATCTCGATGACATCAGAAGAAATTGGAATAATTAGACAATTATCTGAGAAATGAATTCAGTAATTTCATCGTATCTCTTACATAACAATTGAGTCAATAACCTCTTACCGAAGGTTCGGATATAATTTTCCGGTTTGTCAGAACCTCACATACCTTATCTGCATGAAGCGATAGCATTCATCTATCAGTCCATTGGCTGATAAAAAGAGGTTTTTGTGCACTATGCTTGGTAAATCTTGAATGTCATAGTGAGTGTACTTCGACAGCGAGAAAGACGCCTAAATCCTAACCGATACAATTCAAAAAAACAAAAACATGTTTACTTTATGTAATAGTTAAATGATTAAATGTAAAAGTTAAAAAATTTGCAAAATTGATTGTATCTCTTACAGGGCACAAATCCATGTCTGATCGTAATCAAAAGTACCACCAACAGTACCCGTTGTGCAGATACTCTGTACCGTTCGGCTCAATACATGAACTATAATTAATGCATTATTTATTCAAACAAAATAATGTTACAATTTACAAAACGTAAAAATACAACAATTAAGAAAATCCCTTTTTAATGCAAAAATTCTGAAATGATGAAAAATTAAACTTACATTGATTTCCAGAATCTTGCGTAAATAGCACCGATCGAACTTGCTCACTGGTAAATTCTGGTTCCTGAATGTCCATTTCATGAATTATTCTAAAAATCGAATAATAATTAGGATGCTGTTATAGTTCATCGAATTTATTAATTAATATTATTTCTATTTACAGGGCATAAATGAGCGCTAAAATGTTGGAAAACTTTGAATGATATTTTGATATCTTTTAAAAATGATATATGTGATTTAAAGTATTGATGTCACCCAATAAATAGCTAAATTGTCAAATTAAATTTGATGAATTTTTCAAAATGGAATATTGGTCTATATATTTGTTTTCAAATATTTTAGAAGACAAGAATAATAATAAAATTTTGAATGCTATTAGAAGGGAATATATATCACTGAGATTTTGAGAATACATGAAAGGAGATCTTTATCTCTCAATATATATGTCTCAAGAGATGAAACGAAGAAATTTCCTCAAGTCAAAATTATCAATTTAAAATGCTCTGAATAAAAAATTATTTCATTCGTACATACTTTGCAAAAATCTCTTCTAGGGAAGTTTCCTGCAAATCCAGGAGAAGAATAGATTTATTGAGCAAATGATCGATGTCCATCGTCGCCCGAATCTCTGATCCAAAATCCTTCATTGGGATTTTCTCATGCTTTGCATACATCAATGTTACATTATCGTATTCATCTAAAATATATAGCCTTTTTTAGCAATTATTTTTCTCTTTCTTTTTTTGCAAAACAAAATAAATGAAATCCAAATGATTTAATAGCAAGTCCAGAAATTAAAACAATTATCCAAGCTATAATTTTTCAACTGATTCAAAGTCTTCCTTTCTGTTAAGAAGCAATTAATTACTTATATATCCATGATAAGATCTCACGAAATCGACCAAAATATCAATTACTTATAATGCTTATCACCAAATTTGCAATTTTAATTTCTTAAATTACGAAATATAATAATCGAATTTATTTGTTAAATGAATTTCTTGAAAAGTAATTTCAGATATCCTAATATCTTCTAATTTTATCAGTGTTGATATATTCATTGCCCTGGAATTATCTGTCCTTATGGATATGTAAAAATTGTATCAAATGCAGAAATACGGAAATTATGCTATGGACAAAGTTTTCTTTTTTTATTATTAGTTGAAGAGGTAATTGAAATTGGATAATGCATATTGCCCACATTTGATAAATTACAGTCAGAAAGTAGAAGTTGAAGTGTCTGTGGTATCATTTAATAAATTACCATAAGTTTTAAATTTCTCGATTAAAAAAAATTAGATTTTTTAAACGTAACTTTTCAATCTACAAATTCCAAACTTAACTTCTAAACCATAACATTGTTTTCTAACTTAAACCACATTGTACAATAATTTTTAAACTTATTCAAGAAATAAAATATGATGCCACTTTAATTATGCAACAGTTGAAAAATGAATTTTGTGATCTGATGAAAGCAAAATAAATATTCTCATCGATATGTATTTCAAACAGATATAGATAATCAGTATTAATCATAGTTTTATCATCTTCTTTAGAAAATGATCAGAAATTATCATTCATTGTTTTCTGTAGAATTTATCTATTCATAAATTTCGCTCATTCATTATCATCATAATTTTTAAATAGCTTAATGCTTGAATGTTTTGAATAAATTTAGGAAGCAATTCTTTAGAATATATCCATACATCTTATGCTACAATACAAATAAGCAAATAAAGAACTGAACAAAAAAAAGGGAAAGTGTAATTTAGCATGCTAATTTGTTAATAAGATATTTGCAACGAAAGTTTCTGATGAATTGATGAAAGAATCTAATGTTGCTAATTCCGGGCAGATTTATATTATCCTCACTGCATCTTCAGTTTCAGTCCTAAGCCTACAGAGATGTTGCTATTCCAAGCAGATTTATATTGTTCCCACTGCTTCTTAAATTTCAAACCACAAGTGCTACAAAGATGCTGGCTGGTAGCAGTAAAAGAATACAATCAAAAAATTATATTTATTCATTAAGAAGAAAAAATAATTCTGAAGTAAAAATTGGAAATAATGAAATTATTCAATAAATTCAAATTAAAATGAATGATATTTAAATTGATGCAAATATATCATCGATATAGCATCACTTTCTACTTCGTTCTTATAATTTAATAATTAGAAAATCAATGAAGTTATGAGAGAGTTTTTTTTGACGAGCAAATGTTTCAAACATTTAGAGCTCAAATTATTTGCCATGCAAATTTGCAAAATCTATAGAAAGAATATAATTTGGATATGAGAGATCGGATGGGAAAAAGGGAGAAAATCTAGCTATTACAGAGAGTTTTCTCTTTTCTTTACTCTTTATTGATTTAAAACAATAAAAAAGTTTTGTTTTAAATTTAATATTATTAAAAGATACGAGTATAAACGGAACATCCATTCATTCAGAATTTTATGAAGATCTTTTAATTAAATATCGAAATTTAACGATAAATTAGTGAAGAGGATGAAGTAATGGAGAATACGAACCAGCATTACTCCAACTAAGAGTATCAAGAGGTGGTGTATCAGTTTCTTTATTCAATAAATTGTTATGATCAAGTTGTGAAATTGAACCAAATTGATTAATCATTCGGGAACCATGCCTGCTACTTAATATTTCATTCCCTAAATCAAATGTCGTTGATTGTCGACTACGTTTATGCATCAATGTTGTTCCAATATATGATAACTCATTCTCCTGCAAATTCTTCATGGATAATCGGCTGGCTCGTTTAGTAATATTTTGCGGTGGTGGTAAATACGAAATATTAGATTCGGAGCGTATTGCTTGTTGTATCTTCCTGTTTTCTTGCGCCACTATTTTCAGATCATCTTTGATACGATTTAGTGAAATTGATTCTACCAATGGTTCATTTTTAATGGTATCACATCCCAAGATGAAAGCTGATTGAGAACCACGCTTCCGGTATAGTTTCTGACTTGTAAAACCGATTGCTGAAGCTCCAGTATGAATCGACCGTCTACGGTCATCAATAAGTGAAGGTTGTAGTAAAGATGCAAAATGTGCCATTGGATTGATATAAAGTATACTTTCAGTTTGTGACATTGATGGACATGAAGCTGTAGAATTTCTCGTTTGTCGATGCTCCGGTATACAAAGCAAAGTATTTGAAGTATTCTTGACTAACAATCGTTTCATGTCCGTCTCAAATTCATTCACCTCCGGATTGCTATTCTCAGTCTTAAAATTAGATGATGGTAGAATAATTTTATTCGAAGTAGCATTTTTTTCTTGATTTTCAGAATCATCTTTTTCTGATTCACATTTTATTTGTTCTTTCAAGCTTGAATTTGCCGGAATTTGAAAATCGATCATATTGATATTTTCCATTTTTGAAATAACTAACAAGAAACGTTGCTTTTCTCTTTCTAGATAGATTTCCAATAAATAATAATATCAGCGTTAAGAAGGCAAACAGAATCAGTATCCTTTTCCAAATGAAATAACAATATGACAAAAGTGAAATAGTTCAGAATCAGAAGATTTATCCCAAGAAAGGATTAACTTCAACATTTCATTCTTTCAGCTTAGTTGATTCTGATTCTTGTCGAGAAGGAAAAAAAGGAACTATGAATGGATTCTGGTAACTATACGATAGCAGGAATAATAATATATTAGCATCATTTTGTTGCACTATATCCGGTAAGGGACAGAAAAATACCGATTAAAAAAAAATTAGACGAAGGCAGTAAAATTAGTTGAGTTGATTCGGTTGCCAAATAAAGAAAAGAAAAGAGGGATGATATTCTCTTCTTTTTCTTTCTCTCTTCGAGAAAAACTTAAGAGAGAGAGAGAGAGTAAAGCAAACAACGAATAATTAAACAGATAGGATAGAAAAACAAATAGAAGATTGAATGCAAAGGTCTATGAAAAGCAATGGGGACAAGGAGAAACGTAGGACTGTTTAACAAACTCGATATACTTCCTCCAATACTAATCTTCGAATGGCTAAACTTCAAGACAAGCTCACTCTTCAAGCCTGGTTGTAAAGCAATGGACTCACACAAATGCCATCAACATCCAATAGCATCAGTATGCATGCACAACTGATCTGTTGGAATTCAGAGTTGGAAAGCATGATGATTGCAACAATCATAGGCCTTTTCTGTTTCCTTCCATCAAAATTCTAAGGAGAGCTCAGATTTATTTCAACAACTACCTGATATGATGGTAACAGTAGCATAAAATGTTCTAACAAAGAGTATTTATTTGGACAAGAAATCATTAAATGATTAAGTATAGATTAGTTTTAACTAATAAATGGGAATGTTCTAGTTTGCTAATTAATTCACCTAACAGTGAATGCTTCTGAAATCTGTTATTAATTACTTCTAGCTATGGTTAGAGCTATTTTCTAATGCTTTACGATTTACTATCATCTAATGTTTTTTCAACCAATAACTGTGAGAATATATAAAATGTAAATCTAAGAATTCTGAGCAAAATTCCTTTAAATATAAATATCGATGATTGAAATGAAATTTTAACTAAATGAATGATTCCAAGTAGAAATATATATGCTAGATGCTTTTTTTTGAATCTTCTGAATTTCATTCTGAAATTTTAATCTCATTATTATTGCTGCCAGAAGCTTTTCTTTCTTTTCGATTATTTTCAAAAATAGTTTTGCCTATTTTTCAAAAATAAGATAATTCGTATTTGCCATTTGAAAGGATTTAAAAAGTTTCAAATTTCATTTTTGTTTTCTTCGTAACAAACACAGAAAAAAATGGGCAGAATATTAGGAATGGCTTTAATGTATTGAAGCGAATAATGTTGCTGTTTAATCTACGAGCTTTTTTTTAAATGAATATTTAATGTATCATGAGAAATTATGCTGCTGTAAGAAGATTTAAAGTATAGAAATTATCGTTGAAGAGAGATCAATCAATTCGAAGTTGTTACCTTTATTCCTATATTTTATTAAATGTATAGAGATGAAATCATTTATATTGAAATGGAAATTACGGAAGATATCTTCTAGCTTTCTCTTTTCTCACTTCTTTCATATCCTTCCTCTCTTCCTTTAGCCACTATTAATTATATCAGCTGATTAAGAGAAATTTTAAAAGAAGCTTAGCTTATTCTTTTACGAATAATAATCGCTTCTTAATCAGAAACAACCAAAAATAATTCAGAATACTTTTTTTTTAAGGAACAGAAATATTTAATTTGATTGAATGAAAGAAGCTTATTCCACAATCTTCCTCAATTTAATATTCATATCAATCACATCCTTTATCATTTCTTAGTCGATTTCGATATCAATGCAAATTTTCCACAATTTCATCCAAAATTCAAAGTCAATCAAATTATATTGGTAGTTATCAGAAGTATCTGTGGCTGTCATATATGTGTGAAGAAAGGAAGTTAAAAATGTGACAGAGGCAGGATATGTTTTTAAAAGCAAAAATTATCCCAAAGTTTCAATGGAGAAATCAGGCATCATTTTTAAAGCTAAGCGATTTGACTTTGGCAATTCAACTTTTCGGTGAAAAAATTTTCATCGAAATTTCAACAAAGTCATACGTCATTGAATGTACAAATATCGATAATGGTAATATGCTCTTCTCGGAATCTTTTAAATAATAAATTCTTGGAAAAATACTGATAATCAATAAACAATTTAATTAAAATATTGAGGAGTAAATTGATGTTAGAATTAGATTAACAGACATAATTTCATCAAAGTAGGGATGATGTGTGATGTTGTATAAGGAAGAAGATACGCAAAAAGCTTAATGACCCTGCATCGATATGTAAGCTTAATCGATTGTGATTAAATTCAAAAACAAAAGAATATAAATTTAAATTAACTGCTATCAAAGTACAGTAAAAGAGAAATTAAATTTTAATCTTCTATTTTAAGACAAGAAAGATTTCCATAAGACTTATAATTCAAGGACATTCCAGAAGTAACTTCAAAGATTGTTGAAACTACAAGAAATATTTGTCCATTGGTAGAGATAGTAGGAATTTGATAAGGGATATATTTGCATAATAAAGCAAAGATTTTTGTCATCAATTTGAAAGAGAGCTTTCTTTTTGCAGAATAATAAAGCAAACTTTTATTCAATTAATAAATGAGGAAAAAACTCGAATATAATCGTTTATATCTTTTATTAGTAGCATTATATCTTTTACCAGTTTTATTTTAAATAGATATTTTATTTGGATGTTATTAGTAATTTTGTGTCTTTAGGAATAATTGATTTTAGCAAAGTGCAATAAGAGAAAGTATAAAATGAAACTTTTCCTGCAGCACCTATTCAACTTTTCAGAAATATCATCAATCAGTGCATTATGATGATATTAATAGTAAAGACAAGTCGATTCAACAAGCATGCTTCTCATGTTATCATTTCTTAAAATAATTTGAAATCTATGATCCTTTTGAAATCATATGAATTAATGCAATGTGCTATGTTTAACCGATTGTGAGAGATTATAATACAACGCGTTTTCCATATACTCTTATGCTGCATGCTCTTTCGTTTAAATTCAAGGAATTAAAAAATAAGTAAAACAATTATATCAGAGGACTATCCGCCAATTTAGACATGTGACAGTTGCTTCAGTATAGGTATGTTAGGGTTATTAATCAGATTTGGCTAGTCCTCGATATGGATTATCTCCGGCAAAACTGTATGTGTTGCATAAGTTTATTCATGGTAATATTAGAGTATCAATTTTATTGAATTACTAATAAGAGTGCTAAAATTATTAATCACTCAGTGTGGTGAAGTGAAACTTTCTATCATGCATTGATTTGTGATATTAGTCATTGAAATCTTTCCTTTAATCCGTTTTATTTATTTTTTGTCACAGTTTTAGCTTATCAAAATGAAAGCCGATTATTTTGCAACTCTTATTTTTTAAAGGAAGAAGATTGAATGTTTCGTTCTTCCAAAAAACCATTAACAAAAAGAGAGCTTAAAAATTGTCAAAAATACTTGGCCTCTTCTAAAGTCAATGAAAAATTCATGAAACAGAAAAGTCTTAAAAATCCGAAACAAAACTCTTCCACACATAATCCTCAATTAGTATTCTTTGCTTCTCCTCTCTTAATTGCTATCCTCTACGGCATATTATTTATTTAGTTAAAAGTTTAGTTAAAAAAATATCTTTGATAACTTTTGTGTTATCAAAGACAATTTTTTTGTTATCAAAGAAGTATAGAAATAAAAAGCGGTAAGTGTTTTATTGTAATGTTCTAATTATGTTTCATCGTAATGAATCGTATTGTTTTTATCAGAAAATTAAAAAAGTGAAAGGATTGATAAAAAGACAATTTATTTGCAAAAACGAATTAATTTGAAGATGGACGAAATACTTTTGAAGATTGATAAAATATCAGGAATATGCGTCAAAATGATAAGCACGAATAGGATGATATAGTAAATATAATGGATAAGAAAATAATATAAATGCGTTGTAGGAGGAAGGAAACATAGATTATATATATATATATATATATATTATCGCATAATGGTGTAATCATCATATAATCTTATAGTGATACTAGAAGAAAAGGAAAGTTTGATTAATTGTGGTATAATTAGTTTAATTAGTTCTAGTACAATTATTTTAAATCTTTTTCTCTTACCAATTAATTTCTGCTTTCTTATCAATGTTTGATTATTTTTAAGTTGTCAAGATAATAATACATGTTCATTTCTACCTTACACGATATTGCATGCATATGCGTTCCGATTCATTCATTCCTTCACATTCTGTTATTTCAATATTTTGCTATCAAATATAGCTTCAAATTTTACATCAATATAATTTGGGAATGAATAGATGGAGCTTAATATGAAGAGATAGCAATTAGAATAAGCTATGTCAAAAAACTTATTTTTTGAAGAATGAAATTATTTCAGTTCTTAGGAAGGAGAAATGTCGTAGTTTACTCTAATTGTGACATAGAAGAAGTGGCGAATAAAATTTTTATTAATTTGTATATTTAGCATTGAGGATGTGATATATTCGATATTTATCCCATTTTGACTTATAGAATTTTAATTAAATTTAACTTTTTGTGATAGCTTCTTAACATTTCTTAACAGAATATAATCAAGAATCCCATTGCTGCTAATAATATGAATGATAATAAATTAAAAATAAATAGTAAACAGACGAAAAAATTAGATAGCAATCATTTGTAGATATTAAGTAAATGTAAATAAAGCAATGATAAATGTTAACATTTCCTGAAGTAACAATTTGAAGTAATCTTTGAGGTAATAATACTTTTTCAAATTTGATCATTAAAGTTTATGTTTTTTACATTTTACAAATTAATATTGCGTCACTTCAAACTATTTCAAGTTGAACTTAATCTAGTTAATCTTTATTTACATTTCAATTTTTTGTATATAAAGATTTGCTAGACATGATTAATTTAAGCTGGTTTAAAACAAATGTAATTAAGCATATTTTAATGAACTTCAAAAAAAATGAAATTGCAGGATATTTTTTGAAATTATCGTTAAGCAAGCTAACAGAGATATTTTTATTGCTTGATGATATATAAGCTAATATTTGATAAAAAATCATCATTGAAAAATGAAGTAATATGTGAGATGTAAAATATAAAATAAAATACGAACCAGATAAGGAAGTAGTAAATACTAAGTATAACATTTTGCATTAAAGAATAAAATAAGAGCAAAGTTTTAATTTATAGCCAAATGAATCCTTTAATTCATCTAAAAAATAAACAAATCAGTATGATTCATTTGTTTCATTAAATAATATATTATTCCTAAAATTAATTGTTTTTTAATTTACTAATTTATAATTAGTGTAACATTTCTCTTTTACTAAATTCTTTAATTCATCTTCAAAAAAAAGTGGACAGATCAGTATGATTCAAACCAATCAAACTTTTTTAAATATTTTAAAATCTTTATTTTTATTTATTAATTCTCAATTGAAAATTTTTCTTTTATCATCTCATCTCATATATCATCGAACAAATGATAGATAAATGATAGATGAGAATTGATAATTTGCAAATGATAGATGAGAAAAGTTATGAAGAAAATTCTGAGCAAAGCATGTGATTATAATAAAATGTTAGTAATTCTTTTAAGTCATTTATCAATACTCTTACCATAATTAATTAATGTTATAATTAATGCTATAAACAAGATTCTTACCATCATTAATTAATGTTATAATTTTGAAGTGATAAAAAAATTAACAGAAAAAAGATTCTTATCATTCTTAACTCTTTTTATTATTCATAGAGTAAAAAAAGGTATTTTAAAAGATAATTTTAAGCTAAGTCAACTTAGAAGATAATTTTAAGCTTTTTATCAAATGAAGTATACTTTAAGAGAAAAGGTACTGTAGTATCAGTTTTTTATTTTTAAAAATTAATTCAATGGAAGATACCTAAAATTTAGCAGTATCTATTCTATAATAGCATACTACTCATTTATCATATATTTTTATCAAATGAACTAAGCTTTTAAGAGACTTGTAATTAATTATAACTAATTATGATTGCTTACAATCGGTGGAAAAGTTAAGCAAATTGCTAAAATAACTGATATTTCAATTATAATGACAAAAAAGCATAATGTAAAGAAGAGAAGATGAGAGTGAAACAATAGAGGGAAGTACTTGAAAGTTTTAAAATGGAAGAATATTCTATCTATAGGCTATATTATACTATTCATACTTTAATATTTATATATTACATAAAGTTTCTGTTTTACATCAGAATTGAAATATCCACGCTCCATCTTCAATAAAGTGATTTTGTATGTTCAAATAAGATTTTTTTCTTAAATTCTTTTCCTCTTCTCCTCTCTCTCTCTCTCTCTCTCTCTCTCTCTCTCTCTCTGTATCTCTTTTCGGTTTAAAAAATAAAACTTTTGTTTGTATCGAAAATTTCCTTATAAAAATTATTTGCTATTTTCTATGATTCAATTTTATCCAAAATTTTGCTTCTCTTTTCCAATTAATTTCCAGTCTCATTTAATGTGCGGTCAAAGGTTAAGAAAATTTATCCAAATGCCAAAAATTTTTAAATATTTGAATTTGCTAAAGAATAAAATGAGAAATACAAAGTTTAAAGCAGTAAGATATTGATTGACATTGATAGCATATTTATAAAAAATTTTAGGATATCCATAAATTTTAGCTTATCTTATTTTGAAAACAAACATGTAATCCTATATATCGAACCCTTGAAGTAATCCTTAAGTCCTTGTTAATATTATTTGAAATATCTTGAGAAATTTTTCATCTAGAAATTTTGCAGATAAAACAGCGATATGTTAGTCTTAGTTCAGGCTATTTTCAACTTCAATTTCAAAATACCTATTGCAACCTTTATTCATTTTAAGTTGACAAGGAGAATTTTGATAGTTGTTTTAAACTTTTCATCAATTAAACATTTCGATTTATAAGTGATAAAATAATTAGCAACAAAATTTGTATTTAACAGAGAAATGAAATAGAGAAATTGTATGCTTTACGAAGCATTAAATATGATTCCATCTAATTACCATAAAAATTATTGCAAGGTAATAAATAATTTTTATTGCAATCAATAAAGTATATATTGTTTGAAGAAATTTGTTTTAACTTCAAATTCATCTAAGTTTGGAATATAATTTAGCATAAAAATTTCTTGAAAATTTCAACAATTAGATGTAAAATAATTAGCAATTAAATTATCCAAATATTGGAAGTTTAGAAGGGAAATAAAATATCAAGAAATAAGAAATTAGTTAATCTTAGTTTATTTCCCAACCCGAATTTTCCAAATTAGAAAATATTGAACTGTTTGAAAAATAAGTTGTTACCTTTCTCATCGTCGAATTCGTGCAAACTGTCATCGTCAATATCGTAAAAATTACTGCTCCGACGCTCTTCTATATTTCCGGACATTCCAAGTCCGATATGTTGCAATGAATCGATGGATGGTAGTGTAGCCGATGTTGGAGTATTATACATATCGGATGAAAATAATGTTCCATACATAAATGCTGAACTTTTTGGTCGATGTAAACTGGATCGCCATGATTTCCGCCGTAAAATTGGTGTCATTGACGTGCTGGCTAAAGTTGCATCACTTCCAGAATAACTTGCTTCACCTTCTGAATCGTCACGTTTAGTATGTTGAAAAGACGGAACACTACCATCCGGAAGTAATAATGTATCACGATTGTCAACAGTTTTAACAGGTTGTACCGAAAATATTTTATGTTTGCCAATAGCTGTCTTCTGTTCCTTTTCTTTTGGTAACAAATCGGATGAACTGCTATCTTCCAATGAAAAACATGCTTCACTGGCATATTTGCGTAACTTCTTATGAGCTAATGTTTGAGCTAACGGTATTCGATTAGGTGTTGAAATAAATCGTCGAAATGGAATTGTTTCCGTATGCTTTTCTGGATTCAAGAAAGGTATTTCAGTTGGTAGTGAAGTAAATGGTACTATAGCACTACTAGAATCCTCACTAGTGCAATTCTGTTTTAACGATCGTGAACGAATCCTTTTTTCCGCCGATGGCAAATTTTTTTCGTCAGTTGGAATCGTTGTTGACATCGTATAAAATTAATTTTCATACATTCTTAGATTACAGAAACAATAACAAACCATTTTACATCTGGAACAGGTAGAAATGTGCTCATACTCAAGTAAAATTCATTCGAATCTCGATTTTTTCCACTTTTTTTTTTACCACTGAAACTAGAAATATGTGTTTGATTTAAATTTAAATCAGACCAAATACGAATAGCAAAACAAACGTTCAAATGGGAATATAACACTTTATTAACGGAATAAATCAATAATTGATAATGATTTTAAAACCTGATGAATCTGAATTTTAAACTAATATATATCAGTTTATGCTATTGAGATCTAAAAAAATTTTTACTAAAGCTAGAATTGAAGATTTGTGAATGAAATAGGTATCTAATTTTTATAAAATTAGATAATTAAAATTGGAAAAAAAAGGTAAAAGGTAAAATGAAATTAATTATAAATTTGACTACGTAAAAATTAGTCATTACTTTAATGTGAAAACCAAAAATAGATGTGACATACTGGTGTTAATGATTGAATAATTCAAAATAAGTAAACAAGAAAAGGATACATTATTCACTTGATAATGAAAAGAGAGGGAAGCTGCTGCGCGGATACGTGAAAGCTAGCTAGCAACAAATTGTTGAACACATCATTAGAGGAGGAAATGGATAAATGCTTAATTGATTAACATATGGGAAATTGGGAAAAAAATATATATCTTTCAGAAAATTTCAATGAATATCATCATGTATGAGAGAAATAGTTATAAATCAAAACTTTCATGATTGCTATTTGCTAGGAAAATAGTGTTTTTAAAAAAAGAAACCTTTGAATTCATTATGAGATGAAAATTGTTGAGAGAAATTAAAAGAGCAATTAATTCTTTTGTCCTCTAATCTCATTCTATCTTTCATCACTCTTCTTCTATTGCAAATTTAATACTAATGAAAATAATTGCAGCTATTAGTAATCTAAAGCTATAAAATATTAATTACATAGTAATTCCATTGCTCTCACAAGAAATCAGTTAGTTTTAAATTAAAATATTATTGAACTAAAGAAATTGCAATTTATTAAGTTCACTCCTTCAAAAATATTATTAGTTCGTTCAATTAGCTATATCGTTCAAAAATATTATTAGCTGCTATATCGTTCAAAAATATTATTAGCTGTATATTTAACATTCTTGAAGTTAAGTTTTTCGTTGAAATTTTTAAATTGAAAAAATTTGAATTATGCAACAAAACTACGATAGTAACTGTGCGATAATTTCAGGCAAACAGATAAGAGAAAATATCAATTGAAAGAAAAAAATTTCAAAAGTTAGATCAACGAGCAAATATCTAACTTTTATCGATTTTTAATTGAAATAAATTTGTAGATTCACCTAAATCATCGTTTGTGAAGGTTACTGTAGAATGATTTACTGTGTAATGGTTACTGTGAATGAAATATTACTAATGAAGTGAAAGACCATGGAGGACTAATTTAGTACATCATTTGCATCCTTGCAACTTATCTCTTAAATATTTAACTACAAAGAAGATCTGTTGATAGAACAGTTGATAGGATCGAAATTATTTCTAATAAGAAGTTGTCGGATCGAATAAATTGTTTTAATTTCAAAAATGATAGTTTCAAGTTTTCGATGAATTAATATGAAAAAAAAATGAGTAGCTTATTAGCGAAATATTATGTTGATAGTAACAAAGAAATAAGGCAGGAAATTAACATAAAAATTAGCTTAGCATAAAATAACAGAGGAAAATTACATTGATCAATCAGATTGAGTAGTTGTTAGTTGTAAGATGAAAATAGGAAGCGCAAATGGAGATGAGGATCGAAATGAGCCTATTGGGCCTTTTTTCTATATAAGGGCCTTTTTTCTATAAGGAAAAAATCGTTTTTTTTTTCTAATGCAATAGAGTTAATCTTTAGTAGTTGTTAAAATTGGGCAATTTTATTTACTCCTAATTGGCTATTTAGTCTCATTTGTAATAATTTCTCAACTTCTATCACTCTCTCCACTATCTTTCATTATCTTTTCATCAACTAATAATTACTATGAATAATAATTAATTAATGATTACTATTAGTATCCGTATTTTTAAGCTAACTGAAGTATATTTTGGAACATTTCAAATATTGCACTGTATTATGATATCATTCAAAAATAAGAAGTAAGTTTGAGTGGTGAAGATTGAAATCGTCGGCGGATATACACAAGCAAAAGATTAATTACCTATTAGAGTGTTAAGTATGAAAAGGATATATTGAAATTATAAACTAAAGATAAGTGTAAATGATAAGAAAATCAGCATAGACCAGAAAAATTTTCAATGATTAAGGAAAATAGAGAAAGATGAGAGAGAGAGGGAGAGAGAGAGAAAGAGAGAATAGATTACTTTGTTACAGGAATATCATGTCGATCCTATCAGAACATCCATCAAATAACACAACTGCTAGCATATGCTCTTCTCTTCGATCTTACTTAATCGTTATCATTTCCCGGAAAGTGATAATGCACTGATTAGCAGCTCAAAGTATGGCATCTTTACTAATCAGATTGATATAATTCGAAAATTCCGGAAAGTTAAAATTCTGAAAACAGGAAATTTCGACTCTGATGACAGAATTTCTTTTTTCCTTTTAGCATTCTCCTTTTCATTTTCTTCAATACTTAAGTTTATACTAAGTGTTGAGAAGAGAGGAGAGAGTTCCTAAATGTTGGTTATAAGTTGTAAAAGAAAAAAAGAAAATTGAGAGAACGAAGAAAAACGTGTTAAAGGCCAGAGGTGGGAAAGAAGTTTGATGAATTCCTTCATTTTCCTCTCTCTTCTATTACAAGGAGAAAGAGAGGAGATGGGGTAGCATATTAATTTCAGATAGCTTATTCCGGAAAATGAAATTCCGGATCATCTTGTCTATTTAGAAAAATTGTGCAAGGTTTATTGAGCTTCATTTTAGCTATTCTTGCTTATTGGTAAATACAAAATCGACGTCTTTCCATAGGTTTCTTCTTTTAATAGTTATACACTTCTTTATCTAAAGGTCCGAGATTTCGCGAATAGAATTACTAAGGTTGCTCAATTAGCTGAATTTTCTTTGCTATTGCAAGAAATATAATATAAGATGAGGAGAGAGTTAGGAGAGAAAAATAATTTTTCTTTCTTTATCATTCTTTTTTATAATTTTTAAACGATGTTGTACTTTTAGTTTGGACAAATAAAGTTAACATACGATTAATACTAAATTTTAAGCTTAAAAGAGGACAGTAAAAGGCGTGGAGAGGATACAGTATGATAAAATCAAAAATTATTGCTGTGAAGCCTAATAGAGCCCTTTTAAGCTTGAAGATCCCATGAGAGCTTTGTCAAGCTTCCTCTTAAATTTTTATAAAAGCAATCGTAAGGCCTTGCATAAAAGAATTGATGAAGTGCATTGTTTTTTTTTTTCTAAATAGAATATTTTGGACAAACCTAAATTTAGGCAATCTTAACCCTATTCATACACTCTTCGGATATATGGGATAAGGCCTGATGTCACCGCTATTCCTCTTCTTTCTCTCTCTCTCTCTCTCTCACTCTTCTTATTGAAACATCTTTAAAATCATTTGAAGACTGGCAAAAATCTTATCTAAAGAAATGAACTTCTTGGGATGAATAATTTCAACACAAATAATGAAGGCATTTCTTTTAGTTCAAAGAGAAGTGAAAAAAATATATAATCATTGCTTTGCTGCAATTTATAATTTAAAAGTGCAAAGAAATTTGGGAAATCACGGGGATTATTTTTGAGAGGATGATGAATTGGTCGAAATTATTAATCGATTTATTGATTTATTTTGCCTAAAATAATTTATACCGCTTTTTGTGTACTTGCCCTCAATCTGAAAGAAAATTGCTAGCAGTGAGTCTAAAAGTTTAATGTATTCAAATAAATTTCAGAAAAGCGCTTTATGCATTAGGAAGATTCCTTCCGCCAGCCTTGTTGATGTATATGTATTATTGAAATTGTTAGAAATGTTCCCGGGATAAATACAAATGAATATCTCAATCTTACTTCAACCATTTTCTTGTTGATATTCGAATAGATTAGATTAGATATTCCTTAATTAATTTTCTTTTTAATTCTTTTCTTATCAAATTTATCATTCACGCATTCTTACTTTTATTGATATGTAGACTGATATGAGTAATAAGTAATGTAAAATGGTTACTGCAAAAATGTATAAGCATACAAATTAACTTTGTTTGCGGTGATATTCTCTGAACGAATCTTCAAAATGTTTATTATTCAAAATTTGCATATGAAAAATTTGAATTAGTTAAAACAGATAAAACTGCCAAATTGATTTGATGAAAGGATAATTGATATTATCAATATAGAAAAAAGAAAAAAAATTATCCTTAACCAAAAGATTTAGAAATTCTTCCTTATCATTCGTCAAAACTTCAAACGATAGAAAATATCATCTACGCTTAAGATATAGGAAAATTTAACTTCTTTAATGAAAAAAAACATGCATCAGTTCATAGCATATGATATTATCCTCTCGAATGTAATCAGTAATTAATCATTTTAGTTAAAGCTAAATTACATAAACAATCAAAAAGATGCCAATGCAATTGATGTTTATTGAGCCGCAATGAAGAAAAGAAAATTATGTGAGTGTTAACATAATAGAATGAGAAGCGATCATTAGAAGATAAATTTGTTGGTGCAAATTAAGGAATTTCATTAAGTTTCTTAAAACTAAAGAAAATTTTATCGGTTTTTTCTTAGAATCATTCCATTTTATAGCATTGAAATAATTTGAAATCAAAATTTAAACTTTATCTTATCATCAATTTAATCGAACTATTCTAATCGTAATATTTTGCTTTATCAAATAGAAAATTTTCAACAAATTTACTACTCTTTTGCAAAACTAATTATTCACGACTAAAAGTAGAAAACAATTAGAAAATTTAGATTATTTTGATTAAAATGCAAAATAATCCGATCCGATGCAA